CCTCCACGCCCATCTCGTAGAGCGTCATGATCACTCGTCTCGTGCACGTTTGGAAAGGACGCAAGCTGCAATTCTACTCACTCCACCCTAATCTTCGCACGTACCTCCACGCCCATCTCGTAGAGCGTCATGATCACTCGTCTCGTGTACGGCGAGATCGCCGTGCCGTGAAGCGTCAGCTTTGGCATGACGACCGTCCGATCTCGGTGGCTATTGAAACAGAGGGACGGACGGGTTTGTCTGGGACAGCATCAGCCGTCCGATTCCACGGTGGCTAGCTAGACTGACGGGCGGATTCCTGGTCGGGAGACTGGAGTGCCTTGCCGACTCGATGCAAGGCCACACAGGTTGTACTGTTTATGAGCATGTCCTCGAACCAGATATAATGCGCGGGTGGTGAGCAATACTTTCCAATCCGCGTTCAGCTGCGATAAACGGAAGAGAAACAGGTGTAAGAAAAATTAAGCACTTACACAGAGTGTTTTACTCACTATAACTTATCCCGTATCAACAACGCAGCCTCCCAGGATATGTGAAATAAAAGCATTCTCTATACCCCTTATCCATTCTAACAGTATTGCCAAGCCAATGCAACTGTACTGGAGGTAGGAGGCAAGTCCTTATCTGCATCTTTGTACTCCCTTCAGACTTGTACATATATGTCAGCAAGCAACTGTCAAATGTAACTGCCGTCGCGCCCGTCCCTAGCTGCCGTCTCGCCCGTTCCCAGCCGCCGTCGCGGCCGTTCCTAGACACTATCGCGACCATTCCTAGCCGTCGCGGTTGTCCCTAGTCGTCTCGTGGCCGTCCCTAGCAGCCGTCGCGGCCGTTCCTAGCCGCCGTCTCGCGGCCGTTCCTAGCCATCGCGAACGTTCCTAGCCGCTGTCGTGGTCGTTCCTAGCCTTCGCGATTGTTCCTAGCCGCCGTCGCGGTCGTTCCTAGCCGCCGTCGCGGTCTTTCCTAGCTGTCGCGATCGTTCTTAGCCGCCGTCGCGGCCGTTCCTAGCCGTTCTCGCGGCCGTTCCTAGCAGCCGTCGCGATCGTCCTACCCGCCCCCCCCCTGCGCCGTTGAGTACGTCCCTAGCCGGCCCCATGTGCCGTCGCGCCCGTCCTAGCCGGCCCTGCTCGCCGTCGCGCCTGCCCCTAGCCGGCCCCTTCTCTCCGCCGTGCCCGTCCTGGCCGTTCCTCCCCTGAGCTGTCGCGCCCTCTCCTAGCCGGCTCCTCGTGCCGCCATGCCCACTCCTAGCCGACCCCCTTCGTGCCCGCTCCTTACCGGCCCCTTCGTTGCCTCTGGGGGTGCTGGAGTTGGGGTGGGTACTAGTCCTGGGACTCCTGTCGTGGCTTGTCCCGGCGGGCCTGGGGATGGTACCGGTGCTCGAGGGGTTCTGAGCTCTGGGGGTGTTCCTTCTGGGGGTGCCGGAGTAAAGCATTCTGAAGGTAGCCGTTTAGCAACTTGCGGTCCCGGTGTCGGTGTCGCACCGCCACAGCAGCAGTCCCCACCGGTGTCAGCTCTTCGCCTGCTCGGCCTTCCGTCCCCTGACCCCGCGTCTGTGCCTCCTCCTCCTCCTGTCTACGGCACTGTGTTCCCTCCTCCGGACTCGTCTCCGGCTCGTTTCCCCCCTCGTTCCCCTCCTGTGTCCCCTCCTCTATCTCTTGACCCGACGCCTCCGTCTCACGTCTGGTCTCGCCGTCCCTCCCGCGCTCGACCTGTCTCCCCTGTCTCGCGCTCTCAACCTATGTTGCTTCGTTCCCACGCGTCTCGTCCTCCCCTTCTCCCGCCGCCTCCTCCGTCCTCCTTTGTTGTTGCCCCCCCCCCCCCTCTGTCTGACTACCTGCGTGCCGCTCGTCCTCTTGTTCCTCGGGTCCTTGCCTCTCTCATTACCGACCCGTTTGTTCCGGCTTCGTGTCTTGACGCTCTTGTCGCTGCGGTCGCTGACTTCGCCTCTACCCGCCGCCTTGACTACGCCACCGCTCTGGTCTCTGACCCTGCCTGTCCTCCGTCTGTCGGGGGTGCTCCTGCCCTCGGCAGTGACGTCCTGGAGGACCGTCAGTACGAGCTTGCTTTCTTGTCCGAGGCTGCTCCCAATCTCTGTTCCATGCTTCTAGTCCCTGAGGGTGACATCGATGCTTTCGACATCCCGACCCCTCGCACTTACGCTGAGGCGCTTTCGGGACCCTGGGCCTCTCAGTAGATAGCTGCCATGGAGCAGGAGATGGCATCTTGGCGATCTACCAGCACCTACGTCGACGCAGTTCCCCCACCTGGGGCGAACGTAGTCGATGGCCGCTGGCTCTTCAAGGTGAAGCGCCCTCCTAGAGAGCCGCCTGTGTTCAAGGCGCGCTACGTGGCTAGAGGTTTCAATCAGCGTGAAGGGGTGGACTTCTTCCAGAGCTTTGCTCCGACCCCAAAGATGACTACTCTTCGGGTGCTGCTACACGTAGCAACTCAGCGTGACTACGAGCTTCACTCCCTTGACTTCTCTACTGCGATTCTTCAGGGCAGTCTACACGAGCAGGTCTACCTACGCCGCCCTCAGGGTTTCACTAGTACCTTCCCTCCTAGGATCCAGTGGCTCCTGCGGCGCCCCGACTACGGCCTGCGACAGGCTCCTCGTGAGTGGCACGACACGCTGCGTGCTACCCTTGCTGACCTGCAGTTCTTTCCGTCCTCTGCAGACCCCTCGTTCTTCGTTCGTGCTGGCCAGACTCCGTTCTACATCCTTGTTTACATAAACGACCTGGTCTTCGCCACTGCAAACAGGGACGCACTGGCCTCCGTGAAGGCAGAGCTACTGAAGAGACACACTTGCACAGACCTTGGAGAACTGCGCCATTACCTTGGCTTGCAGATCTCTAGGGACAGAGCACCGCGCACCATCACCCTCACTCTGTCACACTTGGTGTGCCAGGTCCTTCAGAGGTTCGGTCTTCAGTTCTCTTCTGCACAGACCACCCCTCTGCCTGTAGACCACAGGCTCTCTTCTCCAGTTCCAGAGGAGTTGGTAGAGCCCAGTGGCCCTTACGCCGAGCTGGTGGGTTGCCTCATGTACCTGATGACTTGCACTCGCCCAGATCTCGCATACCCTCTCAGCATCTGGGCTCGCTTTGTGGCCACAGGCAGATACCGACCTCAGCACTGGTCTGCCACTAAGAGGGTTTTGCGATATCTTGCAAGTACATCGAGCATGGGGTTAGTGCTTGGAGGGCGTAGGCCAATGGTCCGTACTGGGCACACAGACGCTTCATGGGCAGACGACGCTGAAACTCTTAGGTCCTCACAGGGCTACTACTTTAGCCTTGGTTCAAGTGTTGTCTCGTGGAGAGCTACTCGCTCCTCGTCTGTTGCCTAGTCCAGCTGTGATGCCGAGATCTACGCCGGTGCCATGGCAGCACAGGAGCTCCGCTGGCTGACCTTCTTGCTCACCGACTTAGGTGAGCGGCCTAGCTCTGCCCCAGTCCTGTACGCTGACACCAGGGCGATGATCCTCCTGTGTCAGGAGCCGTGACTCGAGGGCAGAGCAAAGCACATCCAGCTGCGATACTTCCTCCTGCGTGAGCTGCAGCAGCGTCGCCAGGCCCGCGTAGTACACTTGGCCTCCGGTGCAGGGCCTAAGATTTCAGGCAAATTCCCTGATTCAGGGTTTTTTCAATGGTTTTTTTGTTACCGACCCTGATGCGCTAGGATATTTTTTTTACACAACCCTGAAATTTCAGGGCTTTTTTTTTTGTGATCTCTGTTTGTACAGCGTTGCTTTTGTAGAGGTCCCTGTAGCATCTGCCTAATGGGCAGCTACCCCGAATCTTGTAACAGCGTGATTTGGGGCCCTGCCATAATGACCGTATTTTTCCCTTGCTCGATGTGTGCTGGGGGGTTGTGTGAGGGCACTTGGCCCTTAGCCAATTTTAGGGCTAGCGTGAGCTGGGGGATTTGTGAGGGGACTTTTTGACCCTTCGCCACATTCAGGGCCCAATGTGTGCCTTCCGGCGTTGAGAGGGCGAGATTTCCTTCTGCCCCTGCAATTTTGCTCAGCTATCCGATTGGATCGATCGGCAAAATGTGATTGGCTGAGGCTTCTTGAAAGTGTAGCCGCAAAAATTGATGGGCTCAGCATCGTCATGATTCCTGCGGAATCCTCCCTCCCTCCTTCCCCTCCCCCCCCCCCCCCCCCCCCCCCCCCTTCCGTCCCGTCTGTGCTGTGCCCTTCCCGAATGTCGTTCCGCCCATCTCCCAATTTTGTCAAATCAGCATGAAATCTTGAAGAAACCCTGATTACTCAGCGGATTTTTTTTTTGGAGGCCTGAAAAATCAGGGTCAACATGGGAGGGGGACCCTGAGCAATCAGGGTACGGTACCTCAAAACCAATCTGAGGCCCTGCTCCAGTGCCAACACAGCGGATATTTTTACGAAGGCACTTGCGCCTAAAGATCATCAGCGGCACTGTGTACAGCTTGGTCTTGTTCCTGTAGCTTCTCACTTGCTAGGGCCTTTTCTATATACAATACCCTGACTGGCTTGTGGCCTCTCCTAATGGCTGGACTAGTAGTGCTGCCCTGGTCTTGCTCTTGCCTTGCCTGTATTCCTTTGACTAGTCTTTAGACCCTTGTCTCAGAGGCTGGACTAGTAGTGCCGCCCTGAGCTGCTTCTTCACCTGTTAGGCACTGCCCCTATATAATCTAGGGGGTGTGTCAAATGTAACTTATATAGTTACTATAGACTATACTGGATTGTTCCTTAGAGGGTACAACCCCTAGTCTATATACCCCTGTATCCTTCTATTCAACTCAACTACTACTTATTTCGATAACGTTTCTCCCTGTTCAATCCTCTTCCACCCAACTATTACTACAAACGAACCCTCTTTACATGTCTAAAAGCAGTGTTTCTCCCAATCCAAGCCTCTTCCATCCGTCTGCCACTAGTGGTTGCCAGGAGGGTAAGGCTGGCAAGCTTGCAGCAATATTTCTGTACTCCCCATAGACTTCCTCGTGCCATGATGCTGGCCAGCTCCGCATGCCCTCTTCTACGGCAAACGCATACGGGTTACAGTTGTTACTGTTACTGTGAGTGTCGTTGCTATGAGGTCCGTACAGGAGGAGGGAAGCTGAGGCCTTCCATGTGAGCACTGCTTTCATCCTCTTTAAAAGCCTCTCCTTTGCAAGGCTGTTGCTTCTACTGCCTGATGATTGTTCGATGGGTGGGTGGGACGGGAGGGTTTAGAAAGAGAGATAGAAAAATGATGTTTTCTCAAAGTGTATCCAAGTGCAAGGTTGCTTTTGTGCGAGCTTTTGTGTGTCTGTGTGTGTGTGTGTGTGCGGGTGTGTGTATGTGTGTATGTGTGTGTGTGTGTGTGTGTGTGTGTGTGTGTGTGTGTGTGTGTGTGTGTGTGTGTGTGTGCGCGCGTGCGTGCACGCGCGCGCACGAGCGTGCACTTGTGTGCGTATGTCTGTGTGTTTGGAAGTGTATGTGTGTATACGTATGTATGAAAGTGTGTGTATATAAGAGTGTGTACATGTGTGTATAAACGTGTGGGTAACAACCCACTTACCTTGTAACCGTTGAACTGCCGCCAGTTGTCTCTTCACATGCCCAATATCAAAGTGCATCCCCTTCCACCTCTCCCGCCTCTCCCACCACACCCGCAACACCGCTTCTCTCGCCCTCACTTCCCTCGCTGCTGCTGCTGCTTCCCTTCTGCCTGCACCATCTCTCCCTCCTACCCCTGCTGCTGCTGTTGCCCCCCCTGCGACTGCTGTTCCTGCTGCTGCTGTTGCTGCTGCTCCACCAGCCTCACCAGGAAACGCTGAGAGCCACACGGCCTTGATGCTCCCTGCCAGCCCCCACCATGCAGGCAGAGACCCGCTGTTAGCAGCAAGGGCATCCAAATGCACTGCCAGAGTGCCCATCAGAAGTGTTGGGCTGCATGTGCCTGTATAGGAGGAGGGTGATATAAGAAGGGGGCGGCGGGGAGGGAGGGGAAGGGAAAATGAGAGCCAAATGGCCTAGATGCTCCCTGCCAGCCACATCAATGGAGCAAGGGCGTCCAAATGGACTGTTAGAGAGCCCATCAAAAGTGCAGGGCCGCATGTGCCTGGTACGGGGGGCGGAGGGGGGGTGGGGGGAAGGGGGAGGTATAAGGTCCTGTGGTTGCAAGTGGGGGGAACCGGGTGAGAATAGCCACAGGACCTTATGCAGGCGCACTGCCTGCATGCTCCCTTCTAGAGCCCGCCATGCAGGCAGGGAGCCTGAGGTGTTAGGAGCAAGGGCGTCCAGGTGCACTGTTAACGCATCCATCACAGGTGATGCGGCGCATGTGCCTGTGTTCCATTGCTCCTACCCACTCCTTTGCTTCTCATTCCTGAGCTTCTCAGCGCCAGCCGGAGTACTCCAGCTGGAGCGCTCCAGCTGGAGTGCGCCAGCCGGGTAAGTGCTTCTCAATCCTGAGCACTCTAGCTGGCTGCTAGAGCGACCCACCTGCTTTTGAGGCGTTAATACGCCTCGCATGGCACGGGGGCAGGATGGCAAGAGCCGCAGCACCTAAACCTCCCACTCCCTCTCACTCCCACCCACTCCCCCTCTCAAGTGGTCCTCCTGATCATTGATCGAAAACTGAGTACAAGCTGGAGCCAAAGACAACAAGGTGCACTCCCCCTTGTTGTCTTTAGCTCCAGCTTGTACTCCGTTTCTGGTCATGCACTTCCCCCTCTCACTCTCTCCCTCACTCCCTCTCTCACTCTCTCCCTCACTCCCTCTCACTCCTCTGGTTCTCACCTGGTAGGCCCAGCTTGAGTACGCCTCACATGGCGTGGGAGCAGGATGGCGTGAGCCGCAGCACCTCTCCCTCTCCTTCTCTCCCTCCATCTCTCCCTCGGACACTCCTCTGCGTCTCACCTGCTAGCCCCAGCTTGAGTACGCCCCGCATGGCATGCGGGCAGGAAGGCACGAATAGCGGTACATAACACCTCTCCATCTCACTCCTTCACTACTGCTCTTGTCGCCTGCTAGCCCCAGGTGAAGTACGCCTCTCATGGCGTGGGAGCAGGATGGCATCAGTCGCAGCACCTCAACCTCTCCCCTCTCACTCCCTCTCAATCCCCCTGCTTTGCTCACTCTGTCTCCCACCTGCTAGCCCCAGCTTCGGTACGCCTTGCATGGCATGGGAACAGGATGGCATGTGAAAAGGATGGCATGTGAAAGGATGGCATGGGAACAGGATGGCACGAGCCGCAGCACCTCCACATGGCATTGACCGATGACAATATTACTTCACATGTTCACCTACTGCATAGGAGAATTATAGTCACTCTTTATTCTCAGAAATTACTCTTATCTTCACATGTCTACCTGCTAGCCCCAGCTTCGGTACGCCCCGCACGGCATGCAAAAAGGATGGCATGAGCTGCAGCACCTCCATTTCTCACGCCCCCACTCAATCCCTCGCCCTCTCCCTCTCTCGCTCCATCTCTCCTCTCCCGCGGTCACTCCTCTGTCTCTCACCTGCCAGCCCCAGCTTGAGTACGCCCCGCATGGCATGCGAGCAGGATGGCATGAGCCGCAGCACCTCCAGATGGCATTGCAGCAGAGTGAGGGAGTGAGTGAGGGAGTCAGAGGGGGAGTGGGAGGTGGAGTAGGTGGAGGGGGCCGAGCTTGAGAGGGACTCCTGTGGCTTGACACTCTCGAGCAGCAAGGAGCGGATTCTGGCAGGGATGTAGGGAAGAGGGGGATGGAGAGGCAGGAAGAAAGCACATGAAGCGTGTGTAATGAGTCGATTTTTGAGTCGACTCAAAAATCGACTCATTACACAAGAGGGGGATGGAGAGGCAGGAAGAAAGCACATGAAGCGGGGGGTGGGGACGAGGAGGGAGGAGTGCGAGAGGGAGTCCTGTGGTTTGCTGCTCTCGAGCAGCACGGGGCGCATTCTGAGAGGGACGATGAGGTGGTTTTGAGAATTCTCAAAAACGCTCTCGAGCAGCACGGAGCGCATTCTGAGAGGGATGATGAGGTGGGGAAGGGAAAACGAAGGGGGAGGGGGAGAGGGGGGTTCGGGGGGAAGGAGGATTGGGAGTTAGTATATTCAGCTGTCTCCAGAAGTGTGAGAGGGAGTCCGGTAGTTAGAAACTCTCAAGCAGTAACGAGCGGATTCTGAGAGGTGTGGGTCCAGGGAGAAGAAGGGAGGGCGGGGGGGGGGGAGAGGGGAAAGGAGTGGAAATATATTCGGTTGTTTCCAGAAGTGCGAGAGGGAGTGGGTAAAGGAAAAGAGTGGGAAAAAAATATGTTGAGCAAAGACGACTAAAACAGAAAAATTGATCCACGCACAGAAAATAGTTTTGTGGGCGGATCCAATCGACATCCGCTCGAGACCCGCTCGAGACCCGCTCGAGACCCGCTAGAGACCCGCTCGAGACCCGCTCGAGACCCGCTCGAGACCCGCTCGAGACCCGCTCGAGACCCGCTCGAGACCCGCTCGAGACCCGCTCGAGACCCGCTCGAGACCCGCTCGAGACCCGCTCGAGACCCGCTCGAGACCCGCTCGAGACCCGCTCGAGACCCGCTCGAGACCCGCTCGAGACCCGCTCGAGACCCGCTCGAGACCCGCTCGAGACCCGCTCGAGACCCGCTCGAGACCCGCTCGAGACCCGCTCGAGACCCGCTCGAGACCCGCTCGAGACCCGCTCGAGACCCGCTCGAGACCCGCTCGAGACCCGCTCGAGACCCGCTCGAGACCCGCTCGAGACCCGCTCGAGACCCACTCGAGACCCACTCGAGATCCACTCGAGATCCACTCGAGAGCCACTCGAGATCCACTCGAGATCCACTCGAGACCCACTCGAGATCCACTCGAGACCCACTCGAGATCCACTCGAGATCCACTCGAGATCCACTCGAGATCCACGCGAGGATAAGAACAAGCAACTTTTGTTCAGAAACAAGTGGGACGTAGTATCCAGTGAGCGCAATGACAGAAATTGGTTTAGCAAGTTGGAAACAACAGCTTGATGTTGCGCTCACTGGATACTACGTCCCAAGAGTTTTGTGGGTGGGTGCACTCAAGCAGCGAGCGAGCGAGGATAAGAACAAGCATTTCATGGCAACCCGAAACCCTAAACCCTCTGGCACTTAACCGTTGGTCGCACGTTTGGTCGCACCGGGACTTGGCCATATCCTGTACCTGAATGGATGGATGGATGGATGGATGGATGGATGGATGGATGGATGGATGGATGGATGGATGGATGGATGGATGGATGGATGGATGGATGGATGGATGGATGGATGGATGGATGGATGGATGGATGGATGGATGGATGGATGGATGGATGGATGGATGGATGGATGGATGGATGGATGGATGGATGGATGGATGGATGGATGGATGGATGGATGGATGGATGGATGGATGGATGGATGGATGGATGGATGGATGGATGGATGGATGGATGGCTGGATGGATGGATGGATGGATGGATGGATGGATGGATGGAGCGCACGGCAGCAGGCATGCACGAGAGGTGCAGCAAGGCAAGAGCCACTTTCACACCACGCTGTGCTACACCCATACTGTACACCAAAGGTAATACCCACACGCCGTACCTGAATGGATGGATCGAGCACGCTTTTGTGGGTAAGTAAGTAGATTGGTTTTGAGACGTCTCAAAACTAAACTACTTGACCACAAAGGTACTACCCACACACTGCACCTGAATGGATGTATCGATCGTGCGACAGCAGGCATGCACGAGAGGTGCAGCAAGGCAAGGGCCACCCTCACTCCTCTGCCACCCTGCGCCACCAGGATCTGCAGCAAGAGATTCGGGGGAGGGGGGGGGGGGGGGGGGGAGGGGATAGAAAGAGGAGGGATAGTAATGTGACATTACTTGACAAGTCGACTCAAAAGCAAGAGCCACTCTCACTCCTCTTGACCCATGAGGCACCAGGATCTGCAAGATGAGATTTGGGGGGGGGGGGGAAAGAGGAGGGATAATACTAGGACACCACTTGACTTTTGAGTCGACACAAAAGCAAGAGCCACTTTCACTCCTCTGGCGCCCTGAGCCACCAAGATCTGTGCAAAGGGTGGAGGATTGGGATGCGAATAAGAAGAGAAGGAAGGAAATGGGAAGGAAATGGGAAGGAAACAGAATGGGAAAAACAAGGAGTGTGAAAGAGGAGAGAGAAGGTATAAGTTAGACAAAAAAGAAAACGGGTAAAGCCTTTTTTCTTTTACTTAAAATACACAAGAGGGGATATATATTCCGAAGCGTCTCACTTGAGAACACTCCTGTTCTTGCAAGCATGCAGGGCGCTTTTAAGACGCCTAAAAAGGACGACCTAAGTTGCATACCTGAGTGATAGGGAACTAGCACTGGGATGCAGAGAGGATAAGCCAAAAGGGCGAGCAGGATGCAAGAGGTGGTCTCTAAAAAAAGCTCGAGGGAGCGACAGGACAGAGGAGAGGACCCAACAAGGCACATACCTCAGTGAGAGGTACCACAGCAGGAAAATAGACGAGAGCATACCTGAACTAGAGGCACTAGGGCTGGGATGCACAAGGGATCTGCTTGCAGGGTGCGCATGAGAAAGGAGGCCGCCTCTCGAGAGAGCTCGAGGGAGCGGCGGGAGAGAGGAGGCAGTCGGAATGGGGTGGAGGGGGATGGAGGAGGAGGGAGGATGAGCGGACAGATGAGTGGGTCGAGATCTGCTTGTGGGGGGGAGGAGAGAAGGAACGGAATAAAGGAAGGAATTGAATGGTGCAAAGAAAAAAAGAAGAAAAAAAAAAATGAGGAACGACAGGAGGGAGGAGGCAGGTGGACCGTGAAATGGAGTTGAGGGAGATGGAGAAGGAGGGAGGATGAGCGGGAAGATGAGTGCGTCAAGATCTGTTTTTGAGGCGCCTCAAGATCTGCATGGGGGGAGGGCCCGCCAAGAAGGGAGAGCAAAAGGTGAGGGACTTGAATGGCTTTTGAGCCGACTCAAAAATCTGCATGGGGGGAGGGCCCGCCAAGAAGGGAGAGCAAAAGGTGACACCCACCATAGCTGAGACTCCCAGGGTAAGGGACAGCCAGGGTGAGGGACTTGAATGGCGCTAAAAATCAAAAGTAAAACTCCGAGGACAAACTGGAGAGAGGGGAGGCAGGCGAAAGGGAGTGGACAGACAGATGATAGGGTGGAGGTGGGAGAGAGGGAGGAGGGGGAGGAGGGAGGATGATTGGATAGATGAGAGGGTCGAGATCCGAAGGGAGGCGGGGGCATGTTGAGAACCCCCAATGTCCGAAGTCGTTAGGGTGGGGCAGGCAAGGAGTCTATTTTTAAGGCGCCTCAAAAATAGACTCCTCAGCCAGAAGGGGGGGCGGGGGGGGATGTTGAGAACCACCATCCTCCTCCTGTCCAAAATCGTTGGGGTGGGCATGCAAGGACGCCTCTACACGTGTTGGCGTCCCAAAGCAAGTGTTGGCGTAGTGAATGGGAGTGGGCCGAGGCTGGGTGGGGTTTCACACTAGTGTGCCTGTGGGGTTGAGCCGGCGTACATCACCCACAAACCTGGAAAATGCCCTAGGTGTGCTTCTTCCTCACACCAAAGATCAGTTGTGCTGCCACACAAATTCCTCACGCACAACTGCACAACTCATCTTCAGCCGCATGGAAAGAAGCTGTGTATGATCGGTTCTTCACTGACTAGCGCATTTAAGAAGAACACACATGGTATTCTAATCCGCGAAGAACCGATCATCGACACCTTAAATCCACTCGGCTCGGGTAACGACGGTTCGTCCCATCCCATTCTGCAGGAAGAAAATGAGTGGTAGTTCGTCCCACCATGGAAGAAGTCTCTCCCTGACATGAGGAAGGTGTGGGTGTAAAACATCTTCCATGGAGGTCGATGATGTACGCCAGCCCGGCGTGAGGAGTCTATTTTTGAGGCTCCTCAAAAATACGGGATGTTCACAAGAACGTGTTGTTCGGGATGCTCGGGTGGATTCGTGAGGCGCCTCAAAAATACGGGATGTTCACAAGAACGTGTTGTTCGGGATGTTCGGGTGGATTCGTGAGGCGCCTCAAAAATAGACTCCTCACGAATCATGATGGTGTACGCCATGCGTGAGGATGTACGAATCACGATGATGTACGCCATGCGTGAGGATGTACGAATCATGATGATGTACGCCAGCCTGGCTTTTCTCCCCGCCACAACAACCCACTAGCGTGAAGGCCCAGCCTTGGCACGTTTTCATTCACCGCGGCAACCTTTAGTCTGTAGAAGCATCCTTGTATATCCATCCATCCACCCGAACATCCCGAACAACACGTTCTTGTGAACAGCAGTAGCGATTTTGAGGAGGGCACGCAAGGGGGTATTTGGCATGGCATGGAAGGAGTCTATTTCTTAGGCGCCTAAAAAATGGAGTATATTTTTTAGGCGCCTGAAAAAATGTCATCCACCCGAACATCCTGAATGGCAGAAGCGAGTTTGAAGAGAGCATGCAAGGGGTTATTTGAGAGGGGCATGCAAGATGGCATTTCAGGGGGCAGATGGTATGGTATTCACTTCACATCACAGGGGTCAATTTTTTAGGCGCCTCAAAAATAGATTTCAGGGGGGCAAACAGTATGGTATTCACATCACATCAGAGTGACAGGTGATATAAGGTTTGTTTTGAGAAGTCTCAAAACAAACCTTATATCACGTGGTATTCACATCACATCACAGTAATTGTCGCTGCTCGCATTTGACAGGGGGACATCCGAGTGGAGAAATGCGAGCAGCGACAATCAAATGTAATGCTCTCACCGTATGTCCATGGCACAGCGTATTTTGGAGGCTCTCTCGTGTCAATTCTCCTTGCAGCCTTGCCTCGTCCCAGACCACTCTCCCCACTCCCCTCCATCTCTGTCCTTGCTTCACCCTCCCCTCCTCCTCCTCCCCCTCCCTTCCTCCACACCCTCCAAGCGAACGTCTCCTCTATCACACTCACCCTCCCTCCTCTCCCCCCTCCTCCCCCTCCCCCCTCCTCCTCTTCCTCCCCCTCCTCCTCCTCCTCTTCCTCTCCGTCCTCCCCATCCTCCCCGTCCTCCCCTCCCCTCTCTCTCCCCCCCGCCATCACCTTCTGCGCCTCCCCGAACGCCTTGAACAGGCTAGCAGCCAGAGCGCCGCTCCTCGCCTCTTGCACACTCGCATCCCATGCCTCCTCTAAGGAGCAATCTACTGTGAAGAGAGCTCCGGAGGGGGGAGTATGTTTCGGAGAGATCCGGAGGGGGGAAATGGCTTCATATGGCTTCCCATTTAGAGTATCGTCATTGAAGGAACAGCTGCTGTCATTTTCATCTGGGCCGTAAAGCATCAATGCCGTATCCACCCACTCGCCCTCCTTGCCACTCTCTGCATTCCCCGCGTCATCCCTCTCATCATTGCCCCTCTCCTCTTCAACCTCTTGTGCCGCCTGTTGCTGTCTTGAGCCGCTTTTTCTAAAGCCTCCCCCCCTTGATCCATCCTCCCCCTCCCTCCTCCTCTTTCTCCTCTCCAATTGGGTTAAAAGCGCCAGCTCCGGCAAGTCCACGTCAGCACGATGACCATCAGCATCATCACAATCAGCAGCAGCTGCTGCAGAGGGACTAGCAGCACCATGGTCCCTCCATGACCCATCCATATCCACATCCATATCCATGTCATCTGAACCGTGATCAGCATGGCCAGAAGGGAGTTGCAAGATGTCCTTCTGGGCGGCGGAGAGCCAGTGTGAGTGCAGGATGAGGCCGCAGAAGAGCAGAGGGGAGGGGTCGGAGCGGTAGGGAGGGAGATTAACCACTCTGCACAAAGGGGTCGTGAGGGGGGGAAGAGTAGAGCAGTGATGGAGGAGGGGAGTCGCAAGAGGACATTCTGGGTGGCGGAGAGCCAGTGCGAGTGCGGGATGAAACCGCAGAGGAGCAGAGGGGAGGGGTCACTGCGGTAGGGAGGCAGATTGACCACCCTGCATAAGGGGGGAGGGCATGGGATGTGTAAGATTAGGGGTGGAGGGGGGTTGTAAAGGGTCCTTTAGAGAGCGGTGAGCCTGTGGCAGTGCAGGATGAGGCGGGAGAAGAGCAGAGGGGAGGGGTCGGAGCAGTAGGAGGGCAAATTGGAAGGAAGGCGTTGGGGGGGAAGAAAAAAAGGTAGGGTGAGTGTCACAGAGCCAGTGGCAGAGGAGGATGAGGCCAGAGAAAAGGAGAGGGGGGGGGGTTGGAGCGGTAGGGAGGGAGATTGACCCCTCTGGATGGAAGAAAAAAGGGGAGGAGGGGAGGGGTGGAGAAAGCAATGCGAGGAGAGGATATCCGGTGAAAGTGCAGGATGAGGCCGGAGGGGCGTGGAAAACTTGTCTGTAGTGCTTAAATTCAAGGTACCGCTTCTTAGAAAAAGAGCGAAATGAAAAAAGCCACTCACGTCTGCAGCGTTTGGAAGGCAGCGTCGAACTCGTTGGTCTCCATCTGGCACTTGGCTAGATCCAGCAGCATCTGCCCCTTGCGCCGCTGCATACGAAATTTGTGAGAAGGAGGGAGGGAGGGACGGTGGGAGGGGAGAGAGGGAGGGAGGGGAGGAGAGGGGGAGGAAGGAGGGAGGGAGGGGCGGTGGAAGGGGAGTGTGTTTGAAAGGCAGCATCAAACTCGTTGGTCTCCATCTGGCACTTGGCTAGATCCAGCAGCATCTGCCCCTTGCGCCTCTGATGTTAGCACGGGTGAGTGGAGTGGGCAGGAGCAGCGGGGAGGGTGATTTGAGGCGCCTCAACACATTTTGCAAATGGCTAGAAGCCTAGAACCAGCAGCATCTGTCCCTTGCGCGCCTGAGGGGCGATGCGATAGAAGGGGGGAGGAGGAACGGTGGAGCCACGAGGGGAAGGAGAAAGCTGTGAGATGCCGTGGAAGTTTTGAGAAAGCTGTGAGATGAGGCCTAGTTTTGAGGCACCTCAAGAACGGTGGAGCCACAAGGGGAAGGAGAGAGCTCTGAGATGCGTGTGTAATGAGTCGATTTTTAAGAGAGCTCTGAGAAAAATCGACTCATTCATTACACACGGAAGGAGAGAGGTCTGAGATGCCGTGGAAGATGAGGCCTAGTTTTGAATCGCCTCAAAACGAGAGAGCTCTGAGATGCGTGTGTAATGAGTCGATTTTTGAGTCGACTCATTACAGTCAAGTCATTACAGTCAACTCATTACAGTCAACTCATTACAGTCGACTCATTACAGTCGACTCATTACAGTCGGCTAAAAAATCGACTCATTACACACGGAAGGAGAAAGCTCTGAGAGGAGAAAGCTCTGAGAGGAGAAAGCTCTGAGAGGAGAAAGCTCTGAGAGGAGAAAGCTCTGAGAGGAGAAAGCTCTGAGAGGAGAAAGCTCTGAGAGGAGAAAGCTCTGAGAGGAGAAAGCTCTGAGAGGAGAAAGCTCTGAGAGGAGAAAGCTCTGAGAGGAGAAAGCTCTGAGAGGAGAAAGCTCTGAGAGGAGAAAGCTCTGAGAGGAGAAAGCTCTGAGAGGAGAAAGCTCTGAGAGGAGAAAGCTCTGAGAGGAGAAAGCTCTGAGAGGAGAAAGCTCTGAGAGGAGAAAGCTCTGAGAGGAGAAAGCTCTGAGAGGAGAAAGCTCTGAGAGGAGAAAGCTCTGAAAAAAGAGAAGAAAGCTCTGAGAGGAGAAAGCTCTGAGAGGAGAAAGCTCTGAGAGGAGAAAGCTCTGAGAGGAGAAAGCTCTGAGAGGAGAAAGCTCTGAGAGGAGAAAGCTCTGAGAGGAGAAAGCTCTGAGAGGAGAAAGCTCTGAGAGGAGAAAGCTCTGAGAGGAGAAAGCTCTGAGAGGAGAAAGCTCTGAGAGGAGAAAGCTCTGAGAGGAGAAAGCTCTGAGAGGAGAAAGCTCTGAGAGGAGAAAGCTCTGAGAGGAGAAAGCTCTGAGAGGAGAAAGCTCTGAGAGGAGAAAGCTCTGAGAGGAGAAAGCTCTGAGAGGAGAAAGCTCTGAGAGGAGAAAGCTCTGAGAGGAGAAAGCTCTGAGAGGAGAAAGCTCTGAGAGGAGAAAGCTCTGAGAGGAGAAAGCTCTGAGAGGAGAAAGCTCTGAGAGGAGAAAGCTCTGAGAGGAGAAAGCTCTGAGAGGAGAAAGCTCTGAGAGGAGAAAGCTCTGAGAGGAGAAAGCTCTGAGAGGAGAAAGCTCTGAGAGGAGAAAGCTCTGAGAGGAGAAAGCTCTGAGAGGAGAAAGCTCTGAGAGGAGAAAGCTCTGAGAGGAGAAAGCTCTGAGAGGAGAAAGCTCTGAGAGGAGAAAGCTCTGAGAGGAGAAAGCTCTGAGAGGAGAAAGCTCTGAGAGGAGAAAGCTCTGAGAGGAGAAAGCTCTGAGAGGAGAAAGCTCTGAGATGAGAAAGCTCTAAAAAGCCTAGTTTTGAGTTTTGAGTCGACTCAAAAGTCACCTAGTTTTGAGGCGCCTCAAAAATAGACGCCTCAAAAATAGTTTTGAGGCGCCTCAAAAATAGACGCCTCAAAAATAGTTTTGAGGCGCCTCAAAACGAGATGCCGTGGAAGATTTTGCTACATGGCTCTATCAAGCAGCATCCCCCGACCCTTGCGCCTCTCCCTTATGAGAATGTTTTTTGTCTCAGGATAGAAGATTCGTTCGTGTTGAGACATCTCAAAACGACCCTGCTTTTGAGTCGACTCAAAAGCAGACCCTTGCGCCTCTCCCTTATGAGAATGTCCGTTGTCTCAGGATAGAAGATTTGTTTTGCGACGTCTCAAAACGACCCTTGCGCCTCTCCGTTATGAAAATGCCCTTTGTCTCACAGTCCCCCCTGATTCCTTGCTCCTCCTGCTGCGTCATGCGGTGTGGAGGGAGGAGGCGTGTGGAACAACCCGTAGCGTGTGGACCATACATGCTTAAACCCATAGTCCCATGGTTCCTTGCTCCTCCTCCTGCGCCCGTGCCATCCCTTGCACGAACACATCCAGCCAGCCGCCTCCTCGTGACAGCACTCTCACAATTTCACTCTCGGCCTACCTTTGCTAACTTCCTCTCAGTGCTGCTCCCCTATGCCCCCTCGCCCACATCACCTCCCTGCTTCACTGCTATTGCCCACAAGAACACCACCACTCGCCTCCCTCTAATAGCACCACTCTGTCCCTCTCATCTCACCCCTCTCACTCACACCCACCTATTCCCCTCATGGTCGCCCATGTCATCCTCCTGTTCACTGCAATTGCCCACAAGAACACCACCACTCGCCTCCCTCTAATAGCATCTCTCTATCACTCTCTCGTCTCTCTATCACTCTCTCATCTCTCCCACTCCCACGAGCCTGCTCCCCCCTAATACGCCCACTCACGTCATCCTCCTGCTTCAGTGCTATCGCCCGCACGAACACTACCAGTCGCCTCCTCTCTGCCCTCCGCCGCTCACTGTTGCTGCCCCCACCAGTGCCACCGCCGCTGTATCTCCCACCACCACCACCAACGCCACTGCCCCCGCCCCTGCTGCCCATGCGCCAGAGCTCTCGCAGCAGCAGCAGCGCTTGCTGGAAAAATGAATGAGGTGCAGGGAGGCAAGGCAGGCAAGGCAGGGAAGGCAGGGAAGGCAGGGATAATAAGCGGAGCATAGAGGGGCGTGCCTATACACGTGCACCACTGCCCCCGCCCCTGCTGCCCATGCGCCAGAGCTCTCGCAGCAGCAGCAGCGCTTGCTGGGGGAGGAACAGAAGGGATGAGGGAGGGGAAGGAGGCGAGGGGTGACAGGCGTCTAGGTAAGGGTTGCTGCCCTCTCACTACCACCACTGCTGCCCCAGCTGCTGCTGCTGCCCCTGCTGCTGCTGCTGCCCATGCGCCACAGCTGTCGCAGCAGCAGCAGCGCTTGTTGGGGGGTGAAAGGGGAGCGGGGGAGAGGTGGGGGGGTGAATGAATGGGGGGAGATGAAGGAGGAGAGGGCAGAGAAGCGTCAAGACAAGGGCCTCTAAACGCCCTTGCCCCACCACCCCTGCCCCTGCTGCTGCTAGTGCCCATGCGCCACAGCTCTTGCAGCAGCAGCAGCACTTGCTCGGGGGTGAAAAGGGAGGGGGGGGGAGGTGGGGGGGTGAATGAATGGGGGGGGATGAATGAAGGAGGAGAGGGCAGAGAGGCGTCAAGACAAGGGCCTCAGCCCGCCCTCGCCCCACCACCCCTGCCCCTGCTGCTGCTAGTGCCCATGAGCCATAGCTCTTGCAGCAGCAGCAGCGCTTGCTGGGGGGGTGGACGGGTGGATGACGGAGGGGAGGGTGCCAGGGTTTTAGGAAGCTGCCTCTTTGAATGAGCCACAGCGCACGCAGCAGCAGCAGCAGCAGCAGCAGCACTTGCATTGCAGGAAGAGGCAGTGGAGGGGGGGATGAGGGAGGTGAGAGAGAGGGTTTTTGAGGCGCCTCAAAAGTCGCCTTTTGAGGAGCCTCAAAAGGCATTGCAGGAAGAGGCAGTGGAGGAGGGGAGGGGATGAGGGAAGTGAGAGAGAGGGAGGGTGCGAGGAAGCACCATTTCGGCACCATGACTTTGTGTGGCAGCGAATGTAAAAAGATTGATAGAAATTAGAGGGTCGGTGCTTGCAAAGACCCTTTGTGTGAAGAAATCGGTGGCAGGAAGAGGTAGTGGAGGAGGGGATGAGGGAAGTGAGAGAGGGAGAGGGTGCGGGGGGAAACGTAGGGGTCTCACATGTGCCACTGCTTCAGGGTTGGGGTCACACACACAGTAACTGCTTACCTACGACTCCAGCCACATGTACTTTGAGTCAACTTCAAATACACCGGGGTTGGGTTGGGGTCACACACACAGTAACTGCTTACCTACGACTCCAGCCACATGTACTTTGAGTCAACTTCAAATACACCGGGGTTGGGTTGGGGTCACACACACAGTAACTGCTTACCTGTGATTCCAGCCATATCGGCTCATCAACCGGCCTCCTGGTCACTTCAGCGTACTTATCCACATCCATCAGCGCCGCCAGCACCCCTGCTGCCTGCGCCACTGCTATTCTAAGGTATAAGGTTTTAGGAGGGTCTAGAGTTACCTGTGATTCCAGCCAGATTGGTTCGTCCACAGCCCTCTGTCTGGTGACCTCCGCATCCTTATCCGCATCCATCAGTGCCGCCAGCACCCCTGCTGCCTGCTCCACCCCATGCCTAGCCTTGCATGGTGCCAGGGTTTAAGGTTTGAGGCTACTGGTTTAGTGTTTTGGGTCACTCCTTACCTGTGATTCCAGCCATATGGGCTCATCCACTGCCCTTCTGGTGACCTCAGCGTCTTTATCCGCATCCATAAGCGCCGCCAGCACCCCTGCTGCCTGCTCTACCTCCCCTCTAAACATCATCCTCCTTAGAAGCCGCCTCAGCATCTGCCGGTGCACCACTTGCAGCCGAATGCTGCCGCCCTGAAACCCCAGCCCGCGGGCAGCGCTGCGTCCCCGCCGCCCGTCCGAGGTTAGCGCGGTGAGATCGTTGCCGTAGTCCAAGTGCCGCCACTCGTATTTCGTTGTGAAGCGGAAGGCAGGGAGGGACGTGTCGGGTGCAGCAGCAGCGCCAGCTGCACCACCAGCAGCACCAGCAGCAGCAGCAGCAGAGGCGGCTCCACCTCTTTTAGGGGTTGCAGTCTTTCTGCGATTCCTTTGCCCCTCCTTCTCTTCCTGCATCGGCTGCTGCTGCTGCTGCTGTTTCAAGCTGCTGGGAGAGGCAGTGGCACTGTCGCCAGCTGCAGCAGCAGCAGCACCCCCACCACCCCCACCGCCACTACCACCGCCACCACCACCACCCCCACCGCCACCACCATCACCACCCCCAGCGCCACTACTACGAGGGCGGGCCGAGCGGCGAGCAATCTTTGCTCCACCACTCTTCTTGCCTGTCCCCTCCACCTTCCCAGCAACACCAGCAAAACAAGCAAAACCAGCACCTTCAGCACCTTCAGCAGCCTTTTTGGGGGTTGACGACAGGAACTGCCCCCCTGGTCCGCGCAACATCCCACCTCTCCCCTGCCCCGCCCCTGCTTGCGCCTGCGCCGCGGTTCGGAGGGCCAGCAGAGTGCGCGAGCTCTGTATGTGGGAAGGGGGGGCTTGAAGTTTTCCCCAGGGATCTGCACACAGGGGAGACGGGGAGGGAGAGGGAAGATGGGGGCAGTGTCACAGTTCAAAGGGCCAGAAGAGTGCGAGAGCTCTGTATGTGGGAAGGGGGGGCTTGAAATTTTACGTGGCCAGAAGAGTGCGAGAGCTCTGTATGTGGGAGGGGGGGCAGCGCATTCCCCTCTCTGACCTGCATTCGATTCATTCCTCCTGTGACCAGCATCGAGGGGACATGGGGAGAGGAGAGGGAAGATGGGGTCACTGCCACACTCCGAAGGGCCATGAGAATGCAAGAGATCTGTATGTGGGAAGGCGAGGTAGAGTTATGCCCTGCGTGACCAGCATCGAGGGGAAATGGGGAGAGGAGAGCGAAGGGCCATGAGAGTGCGAGAGCTCTGTATGTGGGAAGAGGGGTGCACCGTTTCTCCCTCTGTGAGCTGCATTCGGGAGAAACCAGGGGGGTTTGGGGGGGGGAAGAATGGGAACAGGGTGGCAGTTCGAAGGGGGGAGAAAGGGCGAGAGCTTTGTATGTGGGAACGGGGGGCAGCATATTTCCCTCTCTGACCTGTATTCAGGAGAAACCAGGGGGGTTTGGGAGGGGGGGGGGGAAAGAATGGGGGCAGTGTGGCAGTTCGAAGGGGGGAGAAAGTGCGAGAGCTTTGTATGTTGAAAGGGGGGGCAGCTTATTTCCCTCTGTGAGCTGAGCAGCATTCAGGAGAAACCGTGTGTAATGAGTCGATTTTTGAGTCGACTCAAAAATCGATTCATTAAACCAGGGGGGTTGGAGGGCGGAGGGAATGATTCTAAACCCAGACGCCGGATCCCACATCTCAGATGCTGCTTTGTTTAGCGTCAACTCAAGAACACCCAAGAAAGTGCAAGAAGTTATAATATGTTCTTAAACCTAAACCCAGAACCCCGGTCCCAGATCTCAAACGCTGATTTGAGCCTGAAACTTGAACCCGAAACCCTTATAAATGAACCCTCATGAAAATATCGATTTATAAAACCCTCCACTACATGCAGCCAGTCAGGAGGGAGGGACAAGTGAAACCCTCCACTAGATGCAGCCAGGACCATATACCTTTGTGTGACTGAGAGATATCATTTTGCCGTTCCTCTACCCCCTCTCCCTCCTCTCCCTCCTCTCCCTCCTCTCCCTCCTCTCCCTCCTCTCCCTCCTCTCCCTCCTCTCCCTCCTCTCCCTCCTCTCCCTCCTCTCCCTCCTCTCCCTCCTCTCCCTCCTCTCCCTCCTCTCCCTCCTCTCCCTCCTCTCCCTCCTCTCCCTCCTCTCCCTCCTCTCCCTCCTCTCCCTCCTCTCCCTCCTCTCCTTCCTCTCCCTCCTCTCCCTCCTCTTCTTCCTCCTCTTCTTCTCCCTCCTCCTCCCCTTCCTCTCCCTCCTCCCCTTCCTCTCCCTCCTCCCCCTCCTTTTCCTCCTCTACGAGCGTCCCTTGCTCAACCACCTCCATCGCCTCCCCAATCCCCCCATCGCATCCCACCCCTGTGTGGCCTCGCTGCTCCCTCCCTTCACCATCTCTCCCTAATTCCTCCTCTTCATTTTCCTCCTCCTCATTCTCCTCCTCTTCATTTTCCTCCTCACTTTCCTCCTCATTCTCCTCCTCAATCTCCTCCTCAATCTCCTCCTCTCGTTCCTTCTCATCTTCTTCCTCACTTTCCTCCTCATTTTCCTCCTCAGTGTCCTCTTCACTATCCTCCTCCCGATCGCTCCACTCTTCCTCCTCATTCCCCACTTTCGCAGCCCAACCTGACGCCATGGCTGCTATCAGGCCAATCTTCTCCTCCCCTCTCCCCTAAATAAAATGAAATTGAGCCACTAAGAAAGTACTGTGAAGAATCCCGTCCTGTTTCAAGTGCTGACACTTGCGGCACAATTTTGAGTCACGAATCCTGGGCTTTCAAATTCGCTCAGAAGGATGACGTCACAGCGAAATTGCCTCGCACTCGTGACGTCACTCGCGACGTTCGGGGGCTAGAGACAGAGGGTGCGTTTGCGTAAGCCGCTGTTTGCTGCTCCTACGATACGAAAACGCATGATCGCCTGAAGACTGAAGTTCCTCCGACCCATCATCCCCTCAACCTTCCGTCTGAGGCCGTGTCCTGGGCGTACGAATGACTTCATACGTTTCGGAAGGGCCGTGTCCTGGGTGTACGAATGACTTCATCCGTCAATGGGGTTGATTGAGGTGAATTACGTCTCGGAAGGATCAAATAACTTCATAAAGCGGTTCGGTATGGTATTGGCAGAAAATGAACGCCTAGGACACGCCCTGAGAAGCTCACCGCTGAGGTTTTGAGGGTCCTGTCCCAATGCCGCAGGCACCCCCTGCTATCTTCGATACCCTGCTTTCTAGATATTATATTAAGGACCCGCCGGGTGTACGAGGTGACCCCATCTGTCAGATAACAGTACGTATTAGAATAACCTTGAAGTTACGAACATTTTGCCTCAGCCACCTAGGTATGGCTCGCTGCCGAGATAAATAATTGCGAAAAATATATATCAGGCTAATATAATTTCAATCTGTGCAAGATGTGATCCCGCGTATATATAAAAAAGGAAGTAAATATATGTGGCTCATGGTATTAGATTGTGCAAGAAAATGCGTTTTCTAGGGAGACGTTGACAACATGTAAGAAGGCATGCTATAATGGATGAAGGTTCAACACCGAGCAGCTCGATAACGGATTCCACCTGAGATTCTTCTCCTGCTCCCTCCCCGCCAAAGAATGGCTGCTGTGACAGAGTTCGAATCCAAGAAAGTTGGCCACAAAGCGTGCATATGGCCGTTGCCGTTTTCCGAAATCCTCCTGCTCCTTACGCGTTAGTTTCTTAGGCCGACCCCCCTCGATAGTGCTTCGCAACCAGATCTCGCGTCCGTTCCGCAAAGCGACTCAATGCGCATCGGTTCCGCGCCGCATTTGAGTCGACCGAAGGGATGCGAAGAACGACTGGCTAGTAGCTGGTTAGCGTTGATTAGCTAGTAGCTGATTAGCGTCGATTAGCTAGTAGCTGGTTAGCGTCGATTAGCTAGTAGTCGCGTACGCTTCGAAGTAGGAGCTCATTGCCGTTCTTCGCGTGCGCTGATTTAGCGTTGAACAACCAAATTGCCTTCGTCAATGCCGCGGCATCGTCCAATCAAAGGGAGATGAGATGATTCCTTGGACTGCTTCACTGATTCAGTGACTGAATCTGACAGGGCGGCTCAGCTCCTCCGCTCTGCACAGTCCGTCTCTCTCCTGAATATCTATCACTTTCCGGAGAACAGGGGGAAGAATTTATGGCGTTTCAAACCCGAGGGGGTGGTGAAGATGCTGCGGAAGCTGATTTCCCAGAGTCTAACCCTGCCGGTCTAGGTTCTGGTGTTGGTGCGGGTCGTGGTGCTGGTGGTGGTGCTGGTGGTGCTGGTTTTGGTGCTGGTGGTGGTGTGGGAGGGGCGGAGGAAGGGGGGGATGAGGATTTCCTGAGTGCCTCGATAGAAAGTGACTCGGTACTGTTGAGGAGGATTTGGCAGAACGAGAAAGCAGCGCCGGATATTCTTCAGTATGAAACTGAATTGGTGGAGCGGACTAAAACGAGGATAGAAGAGCTGGTGAGTAGTAGCTTTGTGGAGTCCTTTTGGTCCTACTTATGGATTCCTTGTAAAATCAAAGTAACCCATGCGTTGCCACCCTGAGGGGCACTTGTGTCAGAGCTTAACCTATGCGTTTGGTGGGGCACTTGTAATGTGCAGGAGGAGGTCATAGACCTTTTTAAAGCAGACAGGCGCGAGGCCATGGAGCGGGAACTGCACACTATGGCCGTCGACAGAACCATCCGGATACCCCTGTAAAGCTTATCCCATGTGCTCTATCTGTTGTGGCACATGTTACATGCAGGAAGAGGTCATTGACCTGCTGAAAGCGGACGGCCGCAAGGCCATGGAGCGGGAATTGCACACTATGGACGTCGACAGAACCAAGTACCTCCTTAGAGCGTACCTTAGGTGCCGGCTGCAAAAGGTGAGTGGTAAATTGAGGGTGGGAGGCAGGTTGGTAGCCCAAACGGTGGTAGGTTGGTAACCTGCATGTAACACTACGGACGGCAACAGAACCAAGTACCTCCTTAGAGCGTACCTTAGGTGCCGGCTGCAAAAGGTGAGTGGTAAATTGAGGGTGGGAGGCAGGTTGGTAGCCCAAACGGTGGTAGGTTGGTAACCTGCATGTAACACTATGGACGGCAACAGAACCAAGTACCTCCTTAGAGCGTACCTTAGGTGCCGGCTGCAAAAGGTCAGTGGTAAATTGAGGGTGGGAGGCAGGTTGGTAGCCCAAACGGTGGTAGGTTGGTAACCTGCATGTAACACTATGGACGGCAACAGAACCAAGTACCTCCTTAGAGCGTACCTTAGGTGCCGGCTGCAAAAGGTCAGTGGTAAATTGAGGGTGGGAGGCAGGTTGGTAACCCCAATGCTGGTGGACCTGGAGGGGTAACCCAACGCTGGTGGGGTGGGTTGCCTGCAGGTACCAGTGTGATGTGTGGATGCTAAAGTTGCCATCTCACATTCCTGCAGCAGCCGATTGCATATGGCCAGCTACAGAAGCCGACTGGCTAGGCAGTGCTAAACACCTGTCATTGAGCCAAGACCATGTGCCTTCCTATTTTCTATCCCACCCGCGCTTTTCCATCCATCCCCGCTTCAGGTCGCCCATTTCTTGTATAATGAGTCGACTCAAAAATCGACTCATTACACACGGATTATACACTGAGAGATCTTTTTTCCACCCATCCCCGCTTCAGGTCGCCCATTTCTTGTATAATGAGTCGACTCAAAAATCGACTCATTACACACGGATTATACACTGAGAGATCTTTTTTCCACCCATCCCCGCTTCAGGTCGCCCATTTCTTGTATAATGAGTCGACTCAAAAATCGACTCATTACACACGGATTATACACTGAGAGATCTTTTTTCCATCCATCCCCGCTTCAGGTCGACCGTTTCTTCCTGCACACAGCCAGCGACAGCAGCTACTGCAACCGACTGGCTATGCGGTGTTGCCCAGCGGTCATTGAGCCAATGACCGCCACAAGCCAATGATGACTACCTTCCTGCTCCCCCGTCGCTTCTTCCGCCCCGTCAGATGGACGGCTCTTCTGCCACTTGGCCGGCGACGGACAGCGACTACGACAGCCGCGTTGCCAGCAATCTAACACCACAAGCTGGAGATTTAGACCAGTGCTACCCTGCTTTTGAGTCGACTCAAAAGCAGACTCATTACACGCGGTTAGGAGTCTATTTTTGAGGCGCCTCAAAAATAGACTCACCACAAGCTAGAGATTTAGACCAGTGCTACGCTGTTCCCCTCATCCACTCTGTTCCCTCAGATCGACCGGTTCTTCCTGCACTTGGCCAGCGACAGCGACTACTACAGCCGACTGTCAGATGGGGAGCAGCGCTACTGCGACAGGTGTGTGTGCCCTTGCTGTAGTGCTCCTCTGTATTGTGACCAATACGTGCCGAGAATATGCACATAGCCAGCGATGGCGTCTAGTACGGCCGACTCTCAGATGGGGAGCAGTGGTACTGCAACAGGTGTGTGCTGTGATATATTGCAAGTGTGTCTGGACGCTGTGACAAGTATGTGCGTCCTTGCTGTAGTGCTCCCCTGTATTGTGACGAATAAGTGCCGAGAATATGCACATAGCCAGCAACGACAGCTACTACAGCCGACTGTCAGATGGGGAGCAGCGCTACTGCGACAAGTATGTGTGGCCTTGCTCTAGTGCTCCCTCGTATTGCAACAGGTATGTACTGTGATATATTACAAGTGTGTCTGGACGCTGCAACAAGTATGTGCGTCCTTGCTGTGGTGCTCCCCTGTATTGTGACGAATACGTGCCGAGAATATGCACATAGCCAGCAACGACAGCTACTACAGCCGACTGTCAGATGGGGAACAGTGGTAATGCGGCAAGTATGTATGCCCTTGGCTCTGTGACAATTAGGCATTGGGATATGTGGCAAGTTCGTGTTCGCCCACTTGCTTTTGAGTCAACTCAAAAGTGGTAATGCGACAAGTATGTATGCCCTTGGCTCTGTGACAATTAGGCATTGGGATATGTGGCAAGTTCGTGTTCGCCCACTTGCTTTTGGGTCGACTCAAAAGCGGTAATGCGACAAGTATGCATGCCCTTGGCTCGGTGACAATTAGGCATTGGGATATGTGGCAAGTTCGTGTTCGCCCACTTGCTTTTGAGTCGACTCAAAAGTGGTAATGCGACAAGTATGTATGCCCTTGGCTCTGTGACAATTAGGCATTGGGATATGTGGCAAGTTCGTGTTCGCCCACTTGCTTTTGGGTCGACTCAAAAGCGGTAATGCGACAAGTATGCATGCCCTTGGCTCGGTGAACAGTAGGCATTGGGATATGTGGCAAGTTTGTGTTCGCCCACTTGTTGTCAGGGTGCAGGGATACTGTGACAAGTGCGTAACTACACAGCCGCCTGCTTGTACCATTACTCATGCATTTTACATATCTTTTGGCTTGGTATGTTTCTAACCCCATCGAGCGCCAAAATATCATCATCAGCTCCTATTTCCCTTTTTTTCCAGAACGGGTGACCTGGTGCAGGCTCATACAGAACTGGCCTGTATGATTTTTTCAGCTCACACAAGCCAGTTTTTAGTCGACTAAAAAATCACCTCATTTAGTCATACAGGCCACGGCTGTTCTCCCATTTAGCCACCTCATCCTACCTTTCCAACCCTGTCCCCTCCCAACAGGTAGACCTGGTGCAGGCTCACCTAGATAGAGCTGGTTTCAACCCTCCTCCCCCCTTTCCCCGTTTTCGTCAGGCAGGTAGACCTGATGCAGGCTCACCTGGGCAGGGCTGTTCTTCCTTTTTGTATTTTTCCCCACCAACGCCCCCCCTGCCCCTTTCCTCTCTTTCCAGGCAGGTAGACCTGGTGCAGGCTCATATGGAAAAAGCCGTTCTCTTACGCCTGCCACGCCGCTACCAGTCCATGCTGAAGCAGGCGGACTCCAGTGAAGCCCCGGATATGAGTGAGTCAAAGGCTCAGAGGGGAAAGGATAAGGGTGGTTTTTGGTCAGCGCATAAGGTAAAGGGTGCTCAGTTGTCCCTCCCTGCCTGCCACGTCGCTACCAGTCCATGCTGAAGCAGGCGGACTCCAGTGAAGCCCCTGACATGAGTGAGTCAATGGGGTTAAGGGTTTTGGTTCAGGTGTGGGGTTCTGCATGTGTGCTGTTCCCTCACGCCTTCCACACTGCTACCGCCGCTGCCAGTCCATGCTGAAGCATACGGACTCCAGTGAAGCCCCTGACATAAGTGAGTCAATGGGGTTCAGGGTTTTGGTTCAGGTGTGGGGTTCTGCATGTGTGCTGTTCCCTCACGCCTTCCACACTGCTACCGCCGCTACCAGTCCATGCTGAAGCATGCGGACTCCAGTGACGCCCCTGATATGTGTGAGTCACTGGGGTTGGGGGTTTAGGGTTTTAGTGTGAGGCTTAGGTAATGGGTTTTGGAGGGGGGCGCTGCACGCCGCTACCAGTCCATGCTGAAGCAGGTGGAATCCCAGTGAAGCCCCTGATATGAGTGAGATCGGGGTTCAGGGTTCAAGGGCTATGTATGGGCTTGGGGTTTTTGGTGCATGCTTGTGCTTCTGCCCATGCTGAAGCAGGCGGACTCCCAGTGAAGCCCTTGGCGGATATGAGTGAGTGCAGGATTCAGGGTTCAAGGGCTACGGGCTTGGGGATTTTGGTGCATGCTAGTGCTCTGCCCGTGCTGAAGCAGGCGGACTCCAGTGAAGCCCTGGGCAGACATGAGTGAGTGCAGGATTCAGGGTTCAAGGGCTATGTATGGGCTTGGGGTTTTTGGTGCATGCTTGTGCTCTGCCCATGCTGAAGCAGGGGTTTAGGGGTTTGGCGTCTGCCTGTGCCATAATCCATGCTGAGGCAGGCGGATTCTAGTGACGCCCCAGATATGAGTAAATGTGGGTAAAGGAATTGGATTTCAGGGATCGGGGTTTAGGGAATGGGATACAGGGATTAGGGTTCAGGGAATGGGATTCAGGAGATAGGGTTTGGGAATCGGGGTTTGTTTTCCCAAATTACCCGTGTCCTCCAAACCCCCACTCCCTTGCAGTTCCTACTCCCGACCTGGGCGCCTTACTCTTTTACTGCTAGATCAACCCTCTTCTCTTCCAAATCACCCTTCCCCTTGCAGTTCCCACTCCTGACTTGGACACGTTTGTCTTCTGTGTGGCCACCCGCCCTCTGCAGTCTGTTCAGCTGGACCCCCAGTGAGTGGTTTGGGGGTATCAGGGTTTAGGGTTTAGGGGTTGAAGGCTGAGAGGTGGAGGTTAGGGGTCCTGTTACTGGTTGACACCTTTGTTTTCTGTGTGGCCTCTGCAGTCTGTTCAGCTGGACCCCCAGTGAGTAAAATAGCGGGATGTGGAGGATTAGTGCTTCATTTTTTTTAGAAACCTCCTTCTTTTGGTGTGACTGTTCATATCATGTGCAATTTAGATCAATTATATTTCAATCATTTCCCATGAGATCCCATCGTCCATGTTAAGACTCTGGTTTCCCCTCCTGCTCCCTCTATATTTCACCACCTTAAAAGGCTGGATGACGTCATCGGCATGGCCCCTGGGGAGCTCCACATACTTCGTTATCGCCCAATTCGCTCTCTTGTTGAGTCTGGTGCCTTGATGCTGCTGTAACAGAGGGTGTGTTCGATAAATTGGTGCCCGAATTATGTTCCGAATGTCCCCAATTCACCTGAAGTGCAAAAACTAGTTGTATATAATCATGACGAAGTTGATTCTGCTATAAAGAGTTCACCTGCTTCACATGCTTTTGTGGAATCAAAAGTTTTGCACTTGGTCGCAATAGCAATGAAATAATTGCATCTGCATCAACACACTGCATTAGTTTATGATAGTCGTGGTGTTGCGTTTCGCTTCGTCTCCAAACCACACCACCAAGCTTCGAAGCTTCAAACGAAGACAAGTTCCCAGGATCACACTTTTCCCGCCACATTTTTCTGACAGGTCTGACTCATCCGAGGACTACGCGGTCATGGTTCGATCGGTAGCCTGGAGGACTTGGTCAAGGCTGTTCCGAATCTACGACCAACTGCTATACACCTGGAGAAATAGTGCATATCATTTGTTCAACAAACTTTGTTGATAACACGTGTCGGTAGCCTCGATAATGCCGAATCGAGCTCCGAATACGGCTGCGAGGGATGGAGTCACCTCTGATGTCCGAGTGAGCCGATCTCTGCTAGTAGCATCGTCGTTCGCACATGTGGTAACGCGATAAAGTGACGCTTTCGCCATATTCACGACCATGTTTCTCTCGCGGTTATGGCGATCCGCCGTCGCTGTCGCACGTGCGAACAGCAGGCCGCTGACAAAATCCGTCAAGTCCAAACGGTTTCCGTTAACTTTTCGTTTTACGTCAACGTTGGCACTCTTTCAGCGGATTCTCCTCCCTGTAGCACTCCTCTTTCAGCTCTTAGTGGGGATGTTTTTCCTCCATCATTACCAAACCTCCTCTCGCCTCCCTTCCACGTCAGAAATCTCCTCTGCCCGAGGAAAAACTTTTCTCGCTGCCCTAGATGCGACTTCGTTCTCCACTTTAGCCGATACTTCTCTTTCTATAGCAGGCTACAGTACTGTAGCTAAATCAGCGCGCAGTGAATTCCACGCCGAGAAGCTGGTTACCAGCATTGTCACACGAGCGGACAATGCTGTAACCAGCACTGTTACAGGAGCATCCGAGGATGTAACCAGCGCGGACACACCTGTTACACGCGTGGCTCGCATCTCATTGGGCCTTGATGACGTCACGATCACGTCACTCAACAACCTGCAGCAGTCAACCGGGCTAAAAGCGGCTCCACTAGTGGTCAGTAGGGGACGGGGAAGAGGAGGAGGGAGAGGAGGAGGGAGAGGAGTGGGGAGAGGAGTGGGGGAAGGAGGGACGAGTGGAGGCGTGAAGAGTGGGCTGAGGGGAGAGTCAAGTGGAAATGGTTGGGACAGAGGCGGAGGGGAAACAGCCGAGGAAAACCCTTCTATAAGTAAAGATAACGGAAGATCCGTTTCAGGTGCTTATAACGAAGGGCGGGGAAGCGGGAGGGGATGGTGGGGCTGGGTGGCAGGAGGGATGCGGACAGGGAGAGAGAGCCGCGGAGGGGATTGGATGGTGGGCAGAGGCGGGAAGGCTGGGGAGAGGGGGAAACGTAGGGAGGGGGGACAAGGAGAGGGTAGAGAGGGGGGCGGGGATAAAGAAGGGGCGGGAGAGGGGGGAGGAGAGGAGGGAGGAGAGGAGGGAGGAGAGGAGGGAGGAGAGGAGGGAGGAGAGGAGGGCTCATACCGTCATAAGCCATTGTGGCTGCGAAAACTAGAGGAGAGAGATGCCCAGGCTTTACAAAGAAAACGAGGGGAAGGAGGAGGGAGAAAGGCAGGAGGGCGAGGGGGGAGAGGGGGGGGAGGCGGGGAGGAGGGAGGGGAGGAGGGAGGGGAGCACCTGATAATAGCAGGAAGGAGGGTGAAGAAAATCTCGAAATATGCGATGTTGTTAGAAATGCTGGAGGAAGTTGCGAGGAAGGAGCAGCAGGCGAAGAGGGCTGTAGCGGAATGGCAGAAGCTCGGGAATCCCTGGCCTCCCGTGTTGGCTCGGCCGGACCTGCTGGCGAGGAATGGGCTCCCGGTTCGGAACGCGGATAGGTTTGCCGAGGCAGGCCTGGGAGAGGGGGTGGTGGCGGTACGTAGGGGAGGAGAGCAGGAGAAAGGGGGAGGAGGGGTGTTGCATGGGGAGGGCGTGGTGGTGGTGCTGTACGTGCATAAGAGGGCGGAGTACTTGATAGTGGCTCTTGACGCGCTTTCCAGAGTTGAGGGGATCAACGAGACCCTCCTCATCGTCAGGTCCGCTATAACATTACTATATCGAAAATTGAGGGGATCAATGACATGAAACCCTCCTCATTGTCAGGTGCGCTATAACATCACTACATTGAAAATTGAGGGGATCAATGAAATTATATCCTCCTCATTGTCAGGTGCGCTATAACATGACTACATTGAAAATTGAGGGGATCAATGAAATGATATCCTGTTCATTGTCAGGTGCGCTATAACATGACTACATTGAGAATTGAGGGGATCAATGAAACGATATCCTCCTCAATGTCAGGTGCGCTATAACATGACTACATTGAAAATTGAGAAGATCAATGAAACGATATGCTCCTCATTGTCAGGTGAGATGGAACGTTATTAGCTGGTGTTTGAGAACTCTCAAAAGCTGCTTTGCTGGAACTTTACAATTCTCAAAAGCTGGTTTGCTGTTTTTTTTTTTTTTTTTTTTTTTTTTTTTTAACTCTCAAAAGCTGGTTTGCTGGATTTTTAGAGTTCTCAAAAGCTGGTTTGCTGGTTTCTGAGAATTCTGGTGAGATGGGACGGTATACAGCGTTGCACAGGGTGCAGCTAGGGCGGTGCAGGGAGTGCCGGCGCCTCAAGAGTTCTGAGGCGCCTCAAGAGTCTTCCCTGCTGCCAGCCCTCTCTTTCGTTCGCTTGACTCTCTCATCCGCTCAATCACCTTCTGCCGTGTTAAGCAGCTAGACCTCCCCCTCCCCCTGCGCCTCCACAGCCGCTCCCTCCCTAACCGCTCTCTTCCCTCTCCTCACTCAAGCGGTCCTTAGTATAGCTGAACCCTAGGTACAGGCTAGGCAAAGGGAGCAAGGTACAGAGACATGGGAAGGCATTGCTGAGGGTGCAGCTAGGGTGGTGCAGTGCAGGGAGTGCACAGCAGTGACTTCCCCCTCTCACTGCGCCTCCACAGCCACTCCCTCCCTAACCGCTCTCTTCCCTCTCCTCACTCCCTCTCTCCCCCCCCCCCCCCCGAACACAAACCTCAACAGCCATGACGGGTTCTTCCCTGCAGTCGACTCTCTCATCCGCTCAATCACCTTCTGCCGTGTGAAGCAGATCTACTTCCCCTTCTCCCTGCACTGCACCTTTATGACTGCTAAACCTCTCTCTTCCCCTCATTTGTGCCCCAATCCCTCCCCAACTTCCAGCCACGATGGGTTCTTCCCTGCAGTCGACTCCCTCGTTCGCTCAATCACCTTCTGCCGTGTGAAGCAGATCTACTTCCCCTTCTCCCTGCACCTCCAAAACGGCTCCTTCCCAAACTGCTCCCCCCTAGACTGCCCTCCGGACAGCCGTCCCCAGGGGAGGAAGAAGCACGGGCTAAAGGAGGGGCAGGGAATGGGGCAGAAAAAGGGGCAGAAAAAGGGGCAGGATACGGGGGAAGATGAGGGGCAGGAGGAGAAGAAGGCGTGTTTTGGAGATGTGGACCAGAGTGGGCGGTACAGGGACCCTCACTTTGTGGCGTTAAAGGTAGGCTTCTGGGCATGAGCACAGGGAGAGAGAGAGAGGGGTGGAGGAAAGGGGAAGGCGTGTTTTGGAGATGTGGACCAGAGTGGGCGGTACAGGGACCCTCACTTTGTGGCGTTAAAGGTAGGCTTCTGGGCATGAGCACAGGGAGAGAGAGAGAGGGGTGGAGGAAAGGGGAAGGCGTGTTTTGGAGATGTGGACCAGAGTGGGCGGTACAGGGACCCTCACTTTGTGGCGTTAAAGGTAGGCTTCTGGGCATGAGCACAGGGAGAGAGAGTGAGGGGTGGAGGAAAGGGGAAGGCGTGTTTTGGAGATGTGGACCAGAGTGGGCGGTACAGGGACCCTCACTTTGTGGCGTTAAAGGTAGGCTTCTGGGCATGAGCACAGGGAGAGCGAGGGGTGGAGGAAAGGGGAAGGCGTGTTTTGGAGATGAGGATCAGAGTGGGCGGTACAGGGACCCTCACTTAGTTGCATTGGATTGAAGGCACATCTGGTTTGTGGATTTACATTTGCGTTGCATCCAGTTGATGCGAGGGAATGAGGAAACGCGTTTTGGGGATGTGGACCAAATTGGGCGGTACAGGGACCCACATGCATGCATGGTATGGGCCACTCATGCACTCATGTCTCTTAGAGACCCAGGCATTCACGGGCCTGCTTTAGAGTCGACTCAAAAGGGGACCCACATGCATGCATGTCGCATGGTATGGGACGGACTCTTAGAAGAAGACCCTATCGCTTTCCGTCTTGCTCCTGCTCTTACCCCCCTTCCCCCTACTTCCAGCACCACTGGTCGTGGCTGCAGAAAACGGTCTGGGACGGTCCCCTGGAATCCATGCCGCTTATAGAAGAAGGCCATCTGCTCTTTCCCAACGCGCTGTCTTGTTCCCTTTGCCCCACTCCCCCTCCCCTTCCCCCCACACCCTTGCCCCCCTTCCCTCTACTTCCAGCACCACTGGTGGTGGCTGCAGAACACGGTGTGGGACGGCCTACCAGAGACTGAGTCTTTTACCGGCCACATGCTGCTTACAGAAGAAGACCATCTGCTCTTTCCCAACGCGCTGTCTTGTTCCCTTCCCCACACTCCCCCGCCCATCCCCCCCACTCCCCCTCCCTTTCCTTTCCCCCCACCCTTGCCCCCCTCTTCCCCTCCCCAGCACCACTGGTGGTGGCTGCAGAACACGGTCTGGACGGTCTCCCAGAAACCAAGTCATCTAGAGGCCACATGCTGTTTATAGAAGAGGACCGTCTGCTTTTCCCTGGCGCACTCTCTTGTTCCCCCTCCCTTCCCCCCACTTCCCCTCCCCTCCCCATTACTCCCAGCACCACTGGTGGTGGCTGCAGAACACGGTGTGGGACGGCCTACCAGAAACTAAGTCATTTACCAGCCACATGCTGTTTATCGAGGAGGACCATCTGCTCTTTCCCAACGCGCTGACTTGTTCCCTTCCCCCCACTCCCCCTCCCCTCCCCCCCACCCTTGCCCCCCCTCCCCCTACTTCCAGCACCACTGGTGGTGGCTGCAGAACACGGTGTGGGACGGCCTACCAGAGACTGAGTCTTTTACCGGCCACATGCTGCTTACAGAAGAAGACCATCTGCTCTTTCCCAACGCGCTGTCTTGTTCCCTTCCCCACACTCCCCCGCCCATCCCCCCCACTCCCCCTCCCTTTCCTTTCCCCCCACCCTTGCCCCCCTCTTCCCCTCCCCAGCACCACTGGTGGTGGCTGCAGAACACGGTCTGGACGGTCTCCCAGAAACCAAGTCATCTAGAGGCCACATGCTGTTTATAGAAGAGGACCGTCTGCTTTTCCCTGGCGCACTCTCTTGTTCCCCCTCCCTTCCCCCCACTTCCCCTCCCCTCCCCATTACTCCCAGCACCACTGGTGGTGGCTGCAGAACACGGTGTGGGACGGCCTACCAGAAACTAAGTCATTTACCAGCCACATGTTAATTATCGAAGAGGACCATCTGCTCTTTCCCAACGCGCTGACTTGTTCCCTTCCCCCCTCTCCCCCTCCCCTTCCCCCCACCCTTGCCCCCCCTCCCCCTACTTCCAGCACCACTGGTGGTGGCTGCAGAACACGGTGTGGGATGGCCTACCAGAGACTGAGTCTTTTACCGGCCACATGCTGTTTATAGAGGAGGACCATCTGCTCTTCCCCAACGCTCTCTCCCACCTGCAAGCCCTCATACGCGTTAAGAACAGGCGCTGCTCTGAGTGTGTGGGCGTGACGCTTGCGCCCTCGAACGTGCGGTCGAGGGGGGAGAGCGGGCTGCGGGCGTTTGTGAGGGAGAGGATGGGGAATGTGGGGTATGCGTTCAACAGGACGGTTTGGGAGCAGATTCACCAAACCCATAAGGTGAGTGAGACTCATCTCCTGCCTCTTTCCCCCCACAATTACAGGAGCAGATTCACCAAACCCACAAGGTAAAAATCATCTCCTCTCCCCAACAAAGCGAAGAGTGGGCTCTTGGCGTTTGTGAGGGAGTGCATGGGAAACATGGGATATGCGTTCAACAGGACGTCTCTCTTGGTCAGCCCAAATTCCACTCCTGGCGTCTTGCCTCCGCCCTCTGTTAATGTGCTACTTCATTTTCCCCAAAGCCCTCCCTCTCTTTCCCCCCCTTCATCCACAGTACTTCTGTCACTTTGATGACTACAATTGGGATGTCTCCCTCTCAGAATCCATCTTCCACTTCTGGCGCCACTCCTCCGCCCTCCGCTGGTCAGCTGCTTCCGCTCATCACTTTGGTCGCTGCGGCCTGCACTCAGAAAAGGCAGATCCGCCGGCCCACTACCTTGTTCGAAAGAACGGGACTGGTCCTGGGCGCGGCAGTGAAGGCTCAGGAATGGAAATGTTAGCAGCAGGCGATGGTCAGAGAATCGAGCTCTATAGAAGGAGGGGTGGCGATTTTGCCGCTGTGAATGTAACGGCGAATGCGTCGTCAGCTGTGGATCAGTGTTCACAAGAGGGCTTGCAACTGCCAAGATTGTTGCCGCGTGATTTACACCCGGATATCGACGTGGATGCGCCCATTAGAGCGTTTGATTTTAGTGGGCCAGTTTTGAAACGGTTTACTGGGTTTGGAGGGTGGGGAGACGGGAGGGACCACATGCTTTGCATGCATATTGGTGCACTGTATGGTCAGGATGCGCAGAAGCATGCAGCCTGATTCTGTGTAAATATACCATTTCATGATGTTGAAGCTGTCAAACATGTGTAGTTATCATGTTTGTATAGATTGTATAGGGTCACCTTCTAGAGAGTACAACATTTAGGTATATGTTTGTGTACTCTCTCTCTCACATTATTCAATTCTAGGTTTAATATGGTATCACGAGTAGGTTTCGACCCACCCCCCCCCCCCCCCCCACCTACCGCTTCCGCTCCTCCCGTCGCGTCTCCTAGCCTCGCCTCGCCCCTCCTGAGCCCAGTCGCGACCCCTCCCCCTAGCCCCGTCGCGCCCCTTCCAGGGCCTCGTAGCGCCCCTCCAGGCCCCGTCGCGCCCCCCTTCCAGGGCTTCGTAACGCCCCTCCAGGCCCCCGTCGCGCCCCTCCAGGGCTCTGTAGCGCCCCTCCAGGGCCCCGTCGCGCCCCTAGCGCCCCTCCTGGGCCCCGTAGCGCCCCTCCAGGGCCCCGTCGCGCCCCTTCGCGCCCCTCCTGGGCCCCGTAGCGCCCCTCCAGGGCCCCGTCGCGCCCCTTAGCGCCCCTCCTGGGCCCCGTCGCGCTCCTCACAGGCCCCGTAGCGCCCCGTAGCGCCCCTCCTGGGCCTCGTCGCGCCCCTCCTGGGCTTCGTAGCGCCCCTCCTGGGCTTCGTAACGCCCCTCCCAGGCCCCGTCGCGCCCCTCCTGGGCTCCGTAGCGCCCCTACTGGGACCCGTCGCGCCCTCCCTGGGCCCTGTAGCGCCCCTCCTGGGCCCCGTCGTGCCCCTCCCAGGCCCCGTCGCGCCCCTCCTAGGCCCGTAGTGCCCCTCCTGGGCCCGTAGCGCCCCTCCTGGGCCCCCCCATTGCGCCCCTCCTGGGCCCCGCCGCGCCCCTCCTGGGCCCCCATTGCGCCCCTCCTAGGCCCGTAGCGCCCCTCCTGGGCCTGTTGCGCCCCTCCTGGGCCCTGCCGCGCTCCTCCCTGGGCCCCGTATCCACCCTCCTGGGCCCCGTCGCCCCTGCTCGGCCCCGTCGCCCCTGCTCGGCCCCGTCGCCCCTGCTCGGCCCCGTCGCCCCAGCTCGGCCCTGTCGCGGCCTCTCGGCCCCGTGGCGCCCGCCCTGCCCCTGTCGCAGCTGCCCGGCCCCTGTCGCACCTGCCCGGCCCCGTCGCGCCCGCCCGGCCCCGTCGCCCCCGCCCGGCCCTGCTGTGTCCTGCCCGGCCCCGTCGCTGCCGCCCGGCCCTGTCGCTGCCGCCCGGCCTCGTAGCTGCCGCCCGGCCCTGTCGCTGCCGCCCGGCCTCGTAGCTGCCGCCCGGCCTTGTCGCTGCCGCCCGGCCCCGTCGCAGCCGCCCGGCCCCGTCGCAGCCGCCCGGCCCCGTCGCAGCCGCCCGGCCCCGTCGCAGCCGCCCGGCCTCGTAGCTGCCGCCCGGCCTTGTCGCTGCCGCCCGGCCCCGTCGCAGCCGCCCGGCCCCGTCGCAGCCGCCCGGCCCCGTCGCGCCTGCCCGGCCTCGACGTGCCTGCCCGGCCCCGTCGCGCCTGCCCGGCCCCGTCGCGCCTGCCCCGGCCCTCCATACTTCCTGGTACTGTCCCCCGTTCCCCGCACCACTTTGCACCCTCCTGCACTTTCCTGCCCCGCCTTGCACCGCATTGCACCTCACTGAACCGCACTGACCGCACTGAACCGCACTGCACCACACTGCATCGCACTGCACCGCACTGGACCGCACTGCACCGCCCTGCACCGCACTGCACAGCACTACACCGCACTCCACTGTCCTCCACTGCCCCTCATGGCTGCTGAGCTTCGTTTTGATGCTGAGGGTCAGCCTCTGGAGTTCGAGGCGTGGTTGGCTGACCTTCGCCGCCACCTCACTGGTCAGCGGCAGGACGGCCACCCGCTTTCTGCACACCTAGACGGTATGCTCCCCTGCCCTGACCCCCCTGCTGTGCTGCCTGCTGATCCCACGCCCGCTGAGCGCGAGTCCACTGCCGCCGCTGCCCTTGCCCGCTCTGTCTGGCTTTCCCGCGATGCCCTTGCTCAGCTCGCCATTAGCAATGCCCTCCCCCCCCTTGAGCGCCCTCGCTTTAGAACCATTACTACCGCCCAGGCCTACCTCGATGCTGTCATCAAGCGCTATTCTACCCCTCCTGCTGCCTCAGTGGGTCGCCTGATCCTCCCCCTGCTCTTTCCTGACCTGGCGTCCTTCCCCACTGTCTCTGACCTCGCTGCCCACCTGCGCTCGATAGATGAGGCCTGGCGCGCTGCCTGCACTGATGCACAGCTTAGAGTCCACCAGCCTCCCATGACCTCTACCCTCTACCTCCTTGCCACCCGCCTCCCTGACCGCCTTGCCGCCGCCCGCGACCAGTTCCTTAGCATCCACCCTGCTGCTCTCACCCTCACCGACTTTGTTGACACCCTGACTGCCATAGAGACTCGTCACCGCTCCATAGCCCAGGCGAGCGGTCGGTACCGGTCCCTATCTTTCAGGGTTGTGCCCCCGCTCAGTGTACCTTCTCCGACGGCTCTGTCGCTGTGGCTGAGACTGCTGCTGCAGTGCAGTCCCGCTCGGGGAAGGGCCGCCGCCCCAAGGTTGGGAGCGGCGGAGGTGGCGGGGGTGCGGGTGGGGGTAGTGGTGGAGGCGGGTCGTCCGGTGCCGGTGCGGACGTGGGGACCCTGCCCAGTCCAGCTGCCCCGCTGCCTCCACCGTTGCAGCAGCCACAGCAGCAGCAGCCGCAGCAGCCGCCGCAGACGAGGCCGGCGAGTGCTCTCCCGCCTGGGTGGCCTGGAGCTGGTGGTGGTCGTGCGCGTGGTGGTGCACCGGGTGGTGGTTCTGGAGGCGGGCCCTGTCAGTACCAGATCCAGACCGGTCCTCGCCGCGGCTTCGTTTGCGGTAAGATCGGTCATTCCACTCCTCGCTGTTTTCGTCGTCTGGACGACCTGTTCCGCCAGCGCTTTGGCCCGGCGCCCGACCTCCCGGACTGGCACAGCTTGCTTAGGCGTAGCATTCGGATTTTTGACTTGGACATGGATGCCATTGTAGCAGCCTTGCATGTGATGTATGCCGATGACTCTAGTGTGCTTCCCTCTTATTACCCCGTGTTGCGTAGTGTAGCTGTGCCTAGCGTAGACTCCCCTGCTGCGTCAGGCGTAGGATCTCCTGCTTTGCTTAGCCTCGGTGCTTCCACCGCTTCACTGTCGCCCCGCGCGACTGCTGCGCTTTCCTTCACCTTGGACTCTGGCGCCTCCCGGTGTTTCTTCCGCGACTCCACGACGCTGACGCCGCTGCCTGTTCCTGCTGCAGTTACTCTTGCTGACCCCTCCGGTGGTCCCGTCTTTGCCCGCAGTTCCACCTCCCTTCCCTGTCCGGCGGTTCCTTCAGGTTCGCTCACCGGTCTGCATATCCCCTCGTTCTCCAGGAACCTAGTTGGTGTCGGCTGCCTCCAGGACCTTGGCGTCACCACTACGTTCCCTGGTCACGAGCGGTATGCTGTCTGTACCGAGGCCGCCACTGGTGCCCCCCTTACCACTTTCCCCCGGGACCCGGTGTCCGGCCTGTTCACACTTGACACCGCGACGTCCCCGGCTGGGTCTTCCCCCCAGGTAGCTGCGTCCACCCAGGTTGCTGCTGCGTGCTCCTGTCGGTCCCTCACTCATCCGACTCTCCTTTGGCACCACCGCCTTGGTCACCCTGCACTCCCGCGTCTGCGTCACATGTCCCAGCACGGTCTCGTCCTTGGTCTCCCCGGTTCGTTCCCTGAGTTTCCCTCATCCCCCGCCCCACCGTGCACGCCTTGTGTCGAGGGCCGGCTCCGCCGTGCCCCTCACTCCTCCTCTTTTCCCCCTACCACCGCACCCCTGCAGACTCTGCACATGGACGTCTGGGGCCCAGCCCCGGTCCATGGGCCGCGTCGCGAGCGCTTCTTCCTAGTGCTTGTCGACGACTTCACACGTTACACCACCGTCTTTCCCCTGGAGCGGAAGGCCGACGTGCCTGACGTTCTCATCCCCTGGCTTGTCTCTGCTCGTCTCCACCGCGGTCTCCCTGCCTTGCGCCTCCACTCCGACCGGGGTGGCGAGTTCGCCTCAGGTGTCCTTGGTCGCTTCTGTCGTGCGGAGGGCATCACCCAGACGTTTACCCTGCCGGACTCCCCGCAGCAGAATGGGGTCGCTAAGCGACGCATCGGTTTGGTCATGGAGGTGGCTCGCACCTCCATGATCCACGCCGGTGCACCCCATTTTCTGTGGCCGTTCGCCGTGCGCTACGCCGCTCACCAGCTTAACCTGTGGCCGCACCCCCAGCGGCCGCAGGTTTCGCCGACCCTTCTGTGGACCGGGTCCCCTGGTGACGCGTCTGCGTTCCACGTCTGGGGCTGCCTTGCTCACGTTCGTGCCTCTGGCACGGACAAGCTCACTGCCCGCACCCTCCCCTGCGTCTTCCTCGGTTTCCCCCTTGACGCGTCCGACTGGCACTTCTACCACCCGCCGTCTCACCGTTTCTTTCACTCTCGCGACGTCACCTTTGACGAGTCCGTCTCCTTCTTCCGCCGCTTTCCCCACCGTGGTCCCCCGGTTACTCCCCCCCTGTTCCTGGTTCCTCCCTCCCTGGTGGCCCCTGCCCCTCCCCCCCCCCCCCCCCCCGTCCGGCCCCCTCTGGTGTGTCTCACGTGACCCCCCTCCCGTCGGTCGTTCCGGTCGACGAGTCTTCTGACTCTGGTAGTCCTTTGGCGCAGTCCTCGCCGTCTGTCCCTCCCCCGGTGTCTCCTCCTCCACCGCCTCCGCAGCCGCCGTCGCCGCAGCTGCTGCAGCCGTCGTCTCCGCCGCCGCCGCCGCCGCCGCCGTCGTCGCTGCCGCTGTTTGTGGACTCTGGGGGTGTTGGAGTTGAGGTGGGTACTCGTCCCGGGGCTCCTGTCGTGGCTTGTCCCCGCGGGCCTGGGGGTGGTACCGGTGCTGGCGGTGTTTCGGGCTCTGGGGGTGTCCCTTCTGGGGGTGCCGGTGTGGAGGGTTCGGGAGGTAGCCGTCGCGCAGCTTGTGGCCCTGGCGTTGGTGTTGTGTCGCCGCAGCAGCAGTCCCCGCCGGTGTCCGCCCTCCGTCTGCTCGGCCTTCCGTCCCCTGACCCTGCGCCTGTTCCTCTCCGGCCGTCTCCCCCTCTTCCCGTCTACGGCCCCGTGTTCCCTCCGCCAGACTCGTCCCCGGCTCGTTTTCCCCCTCGTTCCCCACCCGTGTCCCCTCCTCTGTCTCCCGACCCGACGCCGCCCTCTCACGTCTGGTCTCGCCGCCCCTCCCGTGCTCGTCCTGTCTCCCCCGTCCCGCGCACTCACCCTATGTTGCTCCGCTCCCACGCGTCTCGTCCTCCCCTCCTCCCGTCTCCTCCTCCGTCCTCTCTTGTCGTTGCGTCTCCTCCTCTGTCTGACTACTTTCGTGCCGCTCGTCCTCTTGTTCCTCGGGTCCTTGCCTCTCTCGTTACCGACCCGTCTGTTCCAGTGTCGAGTCTTGACGCCCTTGTCGCTGCGGTCGCTGACTTCGCCTCTACCCGCCGCCTTGACTACGCCTCCGCTCTGGTCTCTGACCCTGCCTGTCCTCCGTCTGTCGGGGGTGCTCCTGCCCTCGGCAGTGACGTCCTGGAGGACCGCCAGTTTGAGCTTGCTTTCCTGTCCGAGGCTGCTCCCCATCTCTGTTCCATGCTGCTAGTCCCTGAGGGTGACCCAGACGCTTTCGACATCCCGACCCCTCGTACTTACGCTGAGGCGGTTTCGGGACCTTGGGCCTCTCAGTGGATAGCTGCCATGGAGCAGGAGATGGCATCTTGGAGATCCACCGGCACCTTCGTCGACGCAGTTCCCCCACCTGGGGTGAACGTGGTCGATGGCCGTTGGCTCTTCAAGGTGAAGCGCCCTCCTGGAGAGCCGCCTGTGTTCAAGGCGCGTTACGTGGCTAGAGGCTTCAGTCAGCGCGAGGGGGTGGACTTCTTTCAGACTTTCGCTCCTACCCCGAAGATGACTACTCTTCGGGTTCTGCTACACGTAGTGGCTCAGCGTGACTACGAGCTTCACTCCCTCGACTTCTCCACTGCCTTTCTTCAGGGCAGCCTTCACGAGCAGGTCTACTTGCGTCGTCCTCAGGGCTTTACTGGCACCTTCCCCCCTGGGACCCAGTGGCTTCTGCGGCGCCCAGTCTACGGCCTGCGCCAGGCACCTCGTGAGTGGCACGACACGCTGCGTGCTACTCTTGCTGACCTGCAGTTCTTTCCGTCCTCTGCAGACCCCTCGCTCTTCGTTCGTGCTGGCTCGACTCCGTTCTACATCCTCGTCTACGTAGACGACCTGGTCTTTGCCACAGCTGACAGGGACGCACTGGCCTCCGTGAAGGCAGAGCTGCTGAAGAGACACACCTGCACTGACCTTGGAGAGCTGCGCCGTTACCTTGGCTTGCAGATCTCCAGGGACAGAGCCGCCCGCACCATCACCCTGACTCAGTCACACTTGGTGCGCCAGGTCCTTCAGAGGTTCGGCCTTCAGTTCTCCTCCGCACAGCCCACCCCTCTTCCTCTGGACCACAGACTCTCCGCTCCAGTTCCTGAGGAGTCGGTAGATCCCAGTGGTCCTTACGCTGAGCTAGTGGGTTGCCTCATGTACCTGATGACTTGCACTCGCCCAGATCTCGCATACCCTCTCAGCATCCTGGCTCGTTTTGTGGCCACAGGCAGACACCGACCTCAGCACTGGTCTGCCGCTAAGAGGGTTTTGCGTTATCTTGCAAGTACATCGGGCATGGGGTTAGTGCTAGGCGGACGCAGGCCAGTGGTCCTTACTGGACACACAGACGCTTCTTGGGCAGACGACGCCGAGACGCTCAGGTCTTCCCAGGGCTACTGCTTTAGCCTTGGCTCAGGTGCTGTCTCGTGGAGAGCTACCCGCTCCTCGTCGGTTGCCCAGTCCAGCTGTGAGGCTGAGATCTACGCCGGTGCCATGGCGGCACAGGAGCTCCGCTGGCTGACCTTCTTGCTCACTGACTTAGGTGAGCGGCCTAGCTCTGCCCCGGTCCTGTACGCTGACAATAGGGCCATGATTCTCCTGTGTCAGGAGCCTCGACTCGAGGGCAGAGCGAAGCACATCCAGCTGCGGTACTTCCTCCTGCGCGAGCTACAGCAGCGGCGCCAGGCTCGCGTAGTACACTTGGCCTCCGGTGCCAACACAGCTGATATCTTTACGAAGGCGCTTGCGCCTAAAGATCATCAGCGGCACTGTTTACAGCTTGGTCTTGTTCCTGTAGTCTCTCACTTACTCGGGCCTTGACTTTGTATTGTCGTATATATATATATATGTATACACTCAGACTGGACTTGTGTCCTCTCACAGTGGTTGGACTAGTAGTGCCGCCCTGTACTCGTTCTTGCCTTGTCTGTACTCCTTCTGACTGGTCTTTTAGACCCTTGTCTCAGAGGCTGGACTAGTAGTGCCACCCTGAGCTGCTTGTCTAGAACATTCCCCTATGCAGTCCAGGGGGTGTGTCAAACATGTGTAGTTATCATGTTTGTATAGACTGTATAGGGTCACCTTCTAGAGAGTACAACATTTAGGTATATGTTTGTGTACTCTCTCTCTCACATTATTCAATTCTAGGTTTAATAGAAGCAACCCCTCCCCTCCCCCCCCCACCCCCCGGCGCAACCCCAACTGGGACTTCATGGAAAGCAGCATTATGCTAGGGTTTTCTGGTCTTTTGAAGGGCCATCAAGTGACCACTATGGGTACTGGTACCATATTGAAACTTCATAAATCTACCACCACATCGAGAAGAGTGGTATGTTGCATCCAGCTAGGTTCAACAACGAATGCGTGCATCACAATAATTGGAGCACCTAGACGGTAAGCCAGGCAGGAAGTCAGGGGTTTTCCAAGTTGGAGGATCATCGGTGGAGCCTTGATTCCTGACAAATAAATAAACCGTATCTGCTAAGCAGATTTCACACGTCCATCGATCTGCTTTGAGCCAAGAGAGACTCCTTCACAGCAGCGAGTGAAGACATCAAGTTGTCCAGAGCTGGCCAGTGCTTCCTTCAGGGCCTACAACAAAAACAGCATAAGTAAGCAGATACCCAAGATGAACATTAATGGAGGCACTTCACCAGATCAGAGTTTCTTACGTCAACCAATGCTGTCTTTGAATTCAGCGCATCTGCAAGTTCATGTGTCTTCGTACTGACAGCCATCAAGGATTCCTGCACAGGCGTTCAGCACATTCAGCAACAGGCCAGATACCGTGAGACAACATTGCTTACCTTGAGCTGTGACATTTCAGCCCGCATCTTTGCCCTCTCAGATTTGAGTTGAGAGACCTGTTGCAGCAAAAGCTAGGCATGAATAGGTCGTTGCATGAAGAGAGTTAGCAGCAGCAGGAACCAGTGTGTCACCTCTTCTGACAATGTTGAGATAGCATTTAGCCTTCTTAGGCGAGATCGCTCAGCTGACTGTCGATTCGCCAGAATACGCTCAGCCTTCTTTGGATCTTCTGCTCGTGCAGTCTGCGTAAAGGCACTAAATGTTATTCTGAAAAAAGAAAGAAAGAAAACTACATCAACAATAGTCACGCTTATGCTTACTTCAAGCCTCTCCATATCACGTTCTCTGCGACTGAGTCCTGGCACGAGAATTCAGCATCGTGCTACATGATGATGCTCAGCGCATCAACGAAATAGCAACATCCCTAGACCATCCACTTGTCAGCCATGTAATGCGTACACTTACCAGCGGAGACAGATGTAAGGTCATCACTCCACCTGCAGAATAGGTCAAGTTATAAAACTCTGGAAATGCTTCGCCTAATCGAGTTCGCAGCACACGCTCACCTGCTTGAGCAGTCACGACGTATCAGAGTTAGAGGCTGCTGGTTTTCCTGTCCGTTCAGCTTCATACGTTTCCGCTCCTTCTTACATGTCACAGGTTGAACATGCGACAAATTGCTGCACCTTTGCAGCGTAATGCTACTGGAGTACACCTCGGAAGCCTTGAGAGGCTTCAGAAATGCAGGATCCTTTTCTCGGCTTTCACTGGAAAACAGAATGAGATTGAAGTCAGCTTGGTTTTGAAAGCTCCGGCGCCATTGACGTCATACCTTTCCTCCGACAAACTATCCGAGTAACTTTTTTCCAATCCAGAGGCCGAAAGGTTCCTAGTCCAACTTGGAAATAGCGCCATAGGTCCACGCTCAAGTTCAATGGACACATTATCTGTTCACAAACACTTGTCATGGCGTATCAACTTCGTCTACAGAACCCTCCTTATGCTGGAGACTAACCTGTGCCACCATCCATTTCGTCAGTGGGGGGAAGCATCTCGTAATCAGTAGTAGTGACGCTGCACTGGCCGTCTTCCAGTGAAGTAGATAGCAAAAGCATCCACTGTTTTGAAAGGGATTGGGCTTTCTCGATCATGGTTCGAGAAACGGGTAACCTTACAGTAACAATTTTTACAGTAAAAAACTTCATTTATAGAAACAAATTGTTTTTCACTGGACCAGAAACTTCTCTACTTCGTGTGGCTTGATCCTAACCATTCTGCTTTCCACCAGGTCACCAGGCGAACCTGGGAAAGCCTGGGAACACGGCTTATAATTCAGGAGATTGAGCACGTGCTAGAACAGCAGACCTTCTGTGCCATGCTGCTCCCCGACAAGACTAGGAGAGCCATCAGTAAAAAACTTCGAAGGCCAGATCACTTGGCAGGCGTAGGTCATCGTGTTCTTAGAGGCGTGAGCACCGGCCCAACTTATCGCTGTCGCCGGCGTTCTTCAGACGGGATTATTGGATCGTTTTCGTTCACGTCATTCTCAGTCCTCGTTAGATAACCGTCTTTGCTGGCTTTTCCGAAGGACCGTGATTTATGGCGCCTACTAGCTCAAGCGACGAGGAGAATCGTCGGGAGGATAAGCGGGACCGGAAAGACCGAGATGAAAAGCGTAGGAGCGTGAGCAAGGAGGACAAGCCTCGCAGCGAGAAGAAAGACAGGAAGGAGCGGGAGGAGAAGCGGCGTAAGCGGCGGCGACGCGATTCCTCGAGCGATTCCAGCGACTCTAGCGACGACAGCGACGGCTCGGAAGCTTCGAGCAGCGGATACAGCAGCGACGAGAGCGAAATCAGCAGGAAGAAGAGACGGCGAGGGAAAGAGGGAAAGAACCGCAATCGGTTAGTTCCTTCTTTTTTCTTCGTTCGTGCCGTGATTCGCTTTCGAAGCCGAGATCGCCCCTTTTTTTTGGTTTGGTGTTCTATTCCTCTTCGCTGACCGCTTCTTATTCTAATAATCCCATTGTACTCATGACTCACTGTTTCCAGGAGGAATTCGAGCAGCAGCAGTGATAGCGACGAATCAGACGACAGTGAATCCAGCGATGAGGACAGGAGTAAACGAAAGTCAAGATCGTCCAAGTCATCTAGCAGCAAGGTATCATCTCTGACTTCTTCTTGTGATGTCGTCTTTATCAGATCTTGCCGACCACTGGGTCTTTAGGGCTGGGGTGGGTCTCGTTCATATGTTATCTTCTTGCTTTTTATTTTTTGTTAAAATACCATATGCATACTCATGGTGCCTTTCGCCGTACTTCCTTTGCTTAGTGTACTATCATGTAATAGCTGCTCGTGTTTTTAAGCAGCTGCTCAAGCTGGTTGTTTTGTTCTTATGGGGTGACTGATGGGGGGTTGGTTGGATGGGTATGGTGGGGATGGGATGCGGTGGTTGGGCTGAGTACGAGTGCATGGGAAGGAGGAATGAGGAGAAACAGAAGAAGAAGAGTAGCAGCCGTCGTGACCGTCGCCGATCGAGCAGTGACCGGCGATCTGACAAGAAAAGTAAAAGCAAAAGACGATCATCAGACAAGGTACCTGCTCGTGTAGAAACTTCTGTCAAGTTGCGCAAATATATCGTGTTGCCTTGTGAGCATGGCTGCATGCTGCATGTTGCTAATTTTATCCTCCTGTAACTTCTTAGCTGAAAGTCTTGTCAAAGTTGCTTATTTTATCCTCTTTTTTCCTTTCCTCCTTCTGCCTGTATGTTTACTGTTCTCCTGTTTGTGTGTGTGCTTGCTTGTGTGTTTCTTTGTATGTCCGTGGTACGTGTCATGGGTGAGGGGTGTGCATGCATGTCACATCCGTAATCTTACTTATTCTCTCCACATCTCTCCTCACTGGAGCTCCCATTGCGGCGCGTGTCACATGGGCCGTGCCACATGCCGTCCTCCTGTCTCTTCCTCGAGTGCAACTCCACACGCCGACACACTTTGCGGCTTTGAAACTCATCAACAAAATCTGGCTCATTCTTGCTGGAATTCTACCCGGTTTTGCGACCTGCTTCTACACTGCTCATCTGTTTTCATTCTAACGTCCCTTTCCCTGTCACTACACTTGTTCTTTCAATGCGCCTTGCTCCTCGTTGTTGGTTGTTTTCATTTTGCACTAAATCAACTGTGCCTTCCTTCACACCGGTTCAGAAAGGATCAAAGTCTGCTGGCGAAGCCACACCAGGCCCAGTGCAACTCTCACAGGTTAGTTTCCCCTGGTAAGCATATCTTGCAGGTGTGGGCTCTTGTATGGCCTTTGGTACATTTGCCTTACATTCATTTCAGGTCAAGCACTCGTGACTGAGCACTGTTCCTTTTCTTCCATTCCCCTCTTTTTGAAACAATTGGCCAGTTTCTTGGTCGTGATGATGGCTCCACGCGTTACAGCGTAATTTCGGGCAAGAAGGTACGTCAGAAGCGGGAGACATAACAAAGTCCTTTATCCAGGCAGCTAGGATGACAGAGTACGTGGCAGAAATGTCAAAGAAATTCTGGCAGTTAGATGCCTTAGTTGGCGTATAATTCCCTTCCTATCTCAATTCGCATGAAGGTGAGTTCCTGGTTTTAAAATGATAGACTTTCTTCCCCTCCTCTCTTCTTTCCATACAGATTCGCATGAAGGTGGATAAGAACAAGGATGACAAGGTAGCTGAAGCCAATCGATCTGAGCTCCTGCGTTTCCTCAATTCAAGCTACGACTAGAGCTTGACCCGAAAACAGGCTGAGGTGGCGTTTTTTTTTTCAAGGCTTCAAGAATATTGGTAGAGAGCTCCAGTTGTTGTGTGGTCGCTTTGTTGTCTTGTCTTCCTTACCTTTTGATTTCTAGCATTGCACTTCAGAAGTCGTTGTGACAGAGAACAAGTGTGGAGGTTTGCCCAATTTAGCAACTCAAAGGAACTGAGCCTCCTAAAAAGTTCACAGGCTCACCTTGTGCTCAGATTCTAGATTCTCCATGCTAAACAATGGAGTGATGGAAAGGAATACAAGGTATATACAAGGTATGAGTTTTTGTCCGAAGACTTTGTAGAGAAAAGAATTGTCCTTCCCTCGTAGATCGAAAATCTTTGGTAATGCCAACATTCAGCAGCATCCCCCATTTCTGCCAGTCCGATCGCAAATCATCTGAACCCATCACTTCTCAACTTATCCCATCTCACTCATCCCAACCCCTTGTCACCCCTTCCCATCCCATAAAACTCGACCTCATCCCTTCCAAAACGCCATGTTTGCGGTGCCTCATTTTTTGTTGGAATCTCCAATCTGGATGCCTCAGAGGACCCCTCCTAAATCCCTAGTTCTGCCCAGCCTCGCACAAACCAAACCCTGGAGCGCCCGCGATCCCTCGTGTCGTGAAAAAACAGGGATTCTAGTATAAGACTGGGCGTTTGTACACAGGCAAAGCCACATATGCTTGTCGGCACCGTTGCACCTTCTCGCAGCAGCTTTCTCGTCCCCAACCCGCTTGGCTGTTCCGCTGCGGTTGCGTCTGCGCGTCGGCTTCCCCACCGAGCCGTCACCATGACTCTTGTACGCGTCTACTTTCAGCACGCCTCATTTTGGGATGATTCTATATCGCGTATGCTCTAGTGTTCTTACACATTCACGGATCGGTCACGTACAGCGTGCGCTAAGATACAGTCGCACGATCTGGTCGTAGTCGCACGATTCGGTCGTAGTCGCACAATTCGGTCGTAGTCGCACGATCCGGTCGTAGTCGCACGATCTAGTCGTAGTCGCACGATCTGGTCGTAGTCGCACGATTTGATCGTAGCCACACGATCTGGACGCAGTCGCACGATCTGGTCGTAGTCGCATGATCTGGTCGAAAATTTGAAAGTGAGCCGATCTGGCGTTTTGATCAACGCGCATCTCCCTCGAGACGTCTCGGAAGCCGTTTGCTTACTTAATTGCCTTCGAAACCCGTCGGTCTTGAAGATTGAGGTGACCTGAAGTAACCAGCGGTTTAGCCTTTGCCCTTTCTTATCTCGTTCCTCCCTTTTACCCTTTCTCCTCCGCCCGGTCCTCATACAGAAACCCTACACCTCCCCCCCCAACAGCAAGAGCGCCTGCAAGGGCTGCCAAGCTCATGGGCGTGAAGATCGAGGTGCCTTGTGCTAATCAACAGCCAATCCTGTGCCCTCATGCTCTCCTCTCCCCGCCTTCCCCCCGCCTCCCCCCGCCTTCCCCCCGCTGCCCGCCTTCCCCCCGCCTCCCCCCTGCCTCCTGCCCGCCTACCCCCGCCTCCCCCTCCCCCAGAAACTCTTCACCTCGCCGCACAACAAGAACGCCTACAAGGCGCTGATCGCAGCCCAATACGTTGGCGTGAAGATCGAGGTGACCTGGAGCAATAAGATGACATCGTGTGCCCTTCTTCTCCCCTTACCCCCTCTCTCCTCCTCCTTTCCCCCCCCCCCCCCCCACACCGCTTCCCAATTCTTCCCGCCCCCCCCCCCCCTCCCTCCCCCAGAAACTCTTCACCTCGCCGCACAATAAGAACGCCTACAAGGCGCTCATCGCAGCGCAATTCGTGGGCGTGAAGGTCGAGGTGCCGCCGTTCCAGTGGGGCGTTACCAACAAGTCGGAGGAGTTCCTCAAGCTCACCCCCATTGGCAAGGTAACCAACTGACTGAATACACAAGTCGGACTACGTGAGGGGTGTTCTTTCCGGTGGGGAGTCATAAAACAAGTCGGAGGAGTTCCTCAAGCTCACCCCCATTGGCAACGTACCACGATTGAGTTTCGGTTGGCAAGGTAACGAACCGAGTACACTAGTTAGACTACTTGGAATACATTTTTCAGTGGGGCGTGACCAACAAGTCGGAGGACTTTCTCAAGCTCACCCCCGTTGGCAAGGTAGTTAACTGAATGCTTTTAACGAGCCACAGAATCCGCTGGGTCGCGTCAGTGTCAGGGGGGTTTCTGAAGCTGACACATATTGGCAAGGTAACAGCGTCAGTGCCTCTATTGTGCCACAAAGTGGTTGGTGAGTCAGTGCCAGGGCTTCCATCCTTCCAGTGGGGCGTGACCAACAAGGCAACACGATCGAGCCTCGGTTGGCAGGATAACGAACTAGCAGACGACAGACAAGTTAGTCGTGTCTCTGCAGACTGCAGTATATGAGCTCCGCAGGAAGGCAGTATATGAGCTCCGCAGGAAGGCAGTATATGAGCTCCGCTAGAAGGCCCTTCAGTGGGGAAAGCTGGCGTAGCGTGGGGAAGCTGATGCGGTGATGCGGTGATGCGGTGATGGAATTGATTAACTATGGGCTTGCAATGAACTGAAAAGTAGAGATTATATATCACTCAATGGTGTGGTGTGGTGTGCGTTTTATTCCCTTCTTAGCGGCTCTATTTTTGTTTCGTAATTAAATTTCATGTTTCCCCTCATCCTGCCCGTGAATGATGTGTTGCAGATCCCTCTCATTGTCACTCCGGATGGGCCAACGGTTTTTTAAGTCCATCCCAAAACTACCTTTTCCATGCTCTCTTGTCCTGTGTCCGTGGTGTGATGTGTTGCAGATCCCTCTCATTGTCACTCCGGATGGGCCAATCTTCGAGAGCAACGCCATTGCTAGATACGGTGGGCTCTTGTTGCTCCTTCCTCTCTTAGGTTGCCAGTCCTCCTTCTGTTATTCTATTCATTTATTTTGCCTGCTTGTCCTTCCCCTCTTGCCGCCTTCTTGTGCCCACCTCAGTTCTCAGATGCCCTCTTCCCGTCTCTCCCTCCTCTCCCTTCTCTCCCTTCTCTCCCCTCTCCCTTCTCCTTAACTCCTCCTGTCTGCCCTCTCCCCCACCAGTTGCCGGGCTAGCTGACAAGGGCCTCTTTGGCTCCAACGCTTATGAGCGTGTAAGTAACTTCTTATTTTCGTGTCGCTGTGACAACCTCGGTCCGTAGAGGATTTACTTTGCCACGAACGAAGTCGACACCCCCCTCCCTGCCTATCAGTGGATTGAGTCTTTTCTCCTTCCTGTGTCCCTCATTCCCATGCGCCCCCCTGCACGCCCTTACATTCTGTGGTCATCAGGCTCAGGTGGAGCAGTGGATTGACTTCGCCACCAACGAAATCGACACCCCCGTGTATCAGTGGATTGGGCCGCTCTACCAATATGGCGTCAGGATCAAGGAGGTAAGGAGGGGTTATGCCGATGAGGTGCTATGTTGCAGTGTTACGTTGTTGCAGTGAAGTGCTATGTTACAGTGTCACATTGTTGCAGTAGAGTGCTATGTTACAGTGTCACATTGTTGCAGTAGAGTGCTATGTTACAGTGCCACATTGTTGCAGTTGAGTGCTATGTTACAGTGTCACATTGTTGCACTGGATTGGGCTGCTCTACCAGTACGGCCACAGGGTCAAGGAGGTAAGGAAGGGTTTTGGCAACAGCGTGGAACCTCCTATCTCTCCACTCTAACCACACCTAGTTGCATTGACTCCCGACTCCCCCCCTTCCCCCCCATCGAATCCCCCCACCACACCTACCTAGTGGGCGACCGGGTTACCCTGATCTCCCCCGTCGCCCCACTCCCCTCCAATTTCGTTGCAGGTGGAGGAGAAGGAGATTGTGAACTCCAAGAGAGGCCTAGCGTCTCTCAACGCCCACCTCTCCGACACACACACCTACCTAGTGCTAGTGGGCGACCGGGTTACCTTAATCAATCTCTCCCCGCCTCCACACTCCTATTGGCCCCCGCTCCCCTCCAATCCCCTTCCAGGTGGAGGAGAAGGCGATTGTGAACGCCAAGAGGGGCCTAGCGTCTCTCAACGCCCACCTCGCAAGCCACATCTAGCTAGTGGGCGAGCAGGTTACCCTAATCTCCTTCACCGCCCTACTCCACTCCATTCCCCTTTGCAGGTGGAAGAGAAGGCTATTGTGAACGCCAAGAGAGAGCTGGCGTCTCTCAATTCGCACCTCGCCAACCACACCTACCTAGTGGGCGAGCAGGTTACCCTAATCTCCTTCGCCGCCCTACTCCCCTCTGCTCCCCTTTGCAGGTGGAGGAGAAGGCTATCACGAACTCCAAGCGGGGCCTGGCGTCCCTCAACGCCCACCTCGCCAACCACACCTACCTAGTGGGCGAGCAGGTTACCCTCGCTGACATCATCACAGTGTCGGTGCTGACGTCACCCATCCGGGGACTGTGGAGCGAGGAATTTATGAGGGAGTACCCCCACGTGCAGCGGTACTTCTGGACGCTGGTGCAGCAGAAGCAGTTCAAGGCCGTTATTGGAGAGGTGGAGCAGGTGAGACCGAGAGTTCACATTGTTTCACTTCAGGTAGGAATGAGGCACACCATAGCTGGTATGAGGGAGTACCCCCACGTGCAGCGGTTCTTCTGGACTCTGGTGCAGGAGAAGCTCAAGAAGCTCAAGAAGCTCAAGGGGGTGCAGGAGAAGCAGCTCAAGGGCTTTATTGGGGAGGTGGGCAGGTGAGAATGGGCACTTTGTAGCATTGCAGGTGTGATGGAATTACATTGTTGAGGAGTCTATTTTTGAGGCGCCTCAAATGTAGCATTGCAGGTGTGATTGAATTACATTGTTGCTAGTATGAGGGAGTAACCCCACTTGCAGCGGTACTTCTGGACTCTGGTGCACCAAAAGCAGTTCAAAGTGGTCATTGGGGAGGTGGAGCAGGTAAGAGGGTATAGAAAAAAGTGTGTAGTAGTCGTATTGTTGCTAGTATGAGGGAGTTTCCTTCACATGCAGTGGCATTTCTGAACTTGGGTGCACCAAAAAGTACTTCAAAGCGGTCATGGGGGAGGTGGAGTAGGTATGAATGGGTTATGGCTTGCACTGCAGCAGTGTGATTTCCAGGTGAGTGTTGAGGAGTTTATGAGGAGTACCCCCCCCCCCCCCCCCCCCTGACATGAAATAGTACTTCTGGACTTCGGTGCATCAGCAGCAGTTCAAGGTGGTTATTGGGGAGGTAGAGCAGGTGAGACAAAGTTCACATTGTTTCACTTCAAGTATGAACGAGTTGATAGATGTGTTTCGCACCATTGCTGACATGACGTGCGATACTCTGATATGAGTCGCACCCTAGTGCCCCGAAAGCAGTTCAAGGCTGTTGATGGGGAGATGGAGCAGGTCGGGTGGTCTTGGTTTTGTTTTTGGATTCTAGGTCAAGGTCCCATGAAGACAGACTAGTTGTAAAAAGCCTACTTGTCTTTAAGCTCATGACGCTACTTTAGGCATGAGCAAGATGCCTGGTGGCCCGGCCCGGCCCGGCCCGGTTCCAGCCCGGATTTTGCCGGGCTTGGGCCGCCAATCCGTGAAAGCCGGCCCGACCTTAGCTGGCCCGGCCCGGCCCGGCTTGCCCCCGGCCCGCCTTGGCCCGCCCCCGGCCCGGTTTTTGCCCCAGGCCCGGCCCGGCCCGCTATGGTAGCTGACCCTCCTATAATGGAAGAGTTGGCGAGAAAGAAGATTAAGCTTGCAAGAGACAAGGTCAAGGTCTATCGACTTCATGAATAGGACTATGCCATCCTTCTGTGCCAGTTGAAGGAACGATCAAGTTCAAATACTTCAGTGTGAAGCCGACCTGAGAAAGTCGGTTCTTCACTGCGGCTATATGGCGATGCCATATATCTGGTGTTTTCAGGTGGGAAGAGGATGCTGCCATCATTGTGTTGTTCGTCTAGTTGATCCTGGCTCTGAAGATGTTCCCGCTGCTTTTCACGCTTCTATCAGAGTAGAAGCTGGAGTGGGCTTTCCACTATGGTGCGGTCCTTGTCTTCTCTCTTGCGATGTTAGGGAGCGACTGGTGCTTTCTCCATGAGAGTAGAGTAGATTGACTTATGTCGTTCTTCATGATCGCGAGAAAGAAGCTTGAGAACGCTTTGAAGTGGAAAGCCCACTCCAGCTCCTCCTTTGATAGCAATGTGAAGGGTAGCGAGAAGATCCTAGGGGCCACGATCAGGTAGACGAGTTGCACGATGATGGCCACATCTGCTTCTGACCTGAAGGCACCAGATATATGGCATCACCATACAATAGCGGTGAAGTATCGACTTCTTAAGGTCAGCTTCACACCGAAAAACTTGAACTTGGGCCGTTCCTTCAGCCGGCACGGAATGATAGCTTTGTCTCATTCATGCAATCGATGGACCTTGACTTAATCGCTTGCAAGCCTTAACTTCCTTTCCACCAGCTCCAGTGTCGTAGGAGGATAAGCAAAAAGCTTCTCCAAGTCTCGTTTTTGCGGATGGGGCACCATCAGTGCATAACAACGTTAAGAGGGTTTGATGACTGGGGAGGGTTTTCTTACAATGATTCCATTGTACCCTTCTCCCCCTGTCATCCTCCCCTCCTGTCCTTTTCTCTCCCTGTCCTCGTCGCCTCCCGACCTCCTCTCCCCCCGTCCTCTTCCCCCGCGTCCTCCCTTGTCCTTCCCATACAGAGTGCCAAAGTGCCCACTTAGATTGCCAGGTGGGAGGTCTCCCCCCTGTACAAGCTCATGAGTAAGAAGTCGAAAGGCCGGGATCCAATCCTCTTCCCTCCCTGTCCTCTTCTCCCCCCATCCTCTTCCTCGCGCCCTCCCTTGTTCTCCCTGTCCAGATTGCCAAGGTGCCCACTGAGATCGCCAAGTGGAAGGACTCCCCCCTCTACAAGTCTGTGAAGCCAAAACGAACGACAAAACAAAGCAGCACCCCCACTGCCTCCTTCCCCTCCCCCCCCCCCCCCCCCCTCTCCTTCCGTTGCCCTCTCCTCCCAATCCCCTCGTTCCTGCATAATGCTCAGATTGCCAAGGCGCCCACAGAAATCGCCAAGTGGGAGGACTCCCCGCTCTTCAAACTCATGAAGCCGAAGCAGGATGATAAGGCAGGACCCACCCCTCGTTCCCCCTCCTGCTCCCCCCCGCCCCCCCTCCCCCAACCAAATCCTTCCTTTCTTAACTCAGATTGCCCAGGTCCCCACTGAGATCGCCAAGTGGGAGGAGTCTCCGCTCTTCAAGCTTATGAAGCCGAAGCAGGACGACAAGGCAGCAGCCACCCCTGCAGCAGCAGCACCTGCAGCAGCAGCAGCGGCTGCAGCGGGAGGGGATGAGGGGGAGGAGGGTGCGCCGAAGCCCAAGGCGAAGAACCCTCTTGACCTGCTGCCGCCCAGCCCCATGGTGCTGGATGCGTGGAAGCGGCTGTATTCGAACACCAAGGCCAAGGACTTTAGAGAGGTGGCCATCAAAGGTGAGCCCTGAGCCGAGCCGGCTCGGTGCTTACACCATGTCTCTGTAGTTCAGACAGGTGGCCATTAAAGGTGAGACTTCAGATTCGGTTGTTTTGGTTGGGTCAAGACGCACTCCCTTATCTTCCGTTGTCGCAGCATCAGCTTCTTATCCCCGCCCTCCCGCCCCACTCTCCCCACCCTCCCACCCCCCCACCCCCCCTTTCCCCCCCCACCACTCCCCCTCTCTCTCACTCATTTAGCCACTGGTCTCCCTCCTAGGCTTTTGGTCTTCCATCGTCCCATCCTTGAATCCTTGCTTCCTGCTCCTCTCACTCTCTCCGGCTCAGGCTTCTGGGATTTGTTCGATGCCGAGGGCTACTCCCTCTGGTTCTGCGACAAGTTCAACGAGGAAAACACCGTGAAATTTGTGACGCTTAACAAAGTGTCGGGCTTCCTGCAGCGGATGGACCTGGCGCTCAAGTATGCCTTCGCCAAGATGTGCATCCTGGGGCTGGACAAGGGCCCTCATCCTCTCTCTCTCCTCCCATTCCCTGCTCGCTGCTGCCCTGTTCCCCTCCCCCAAACCCCACCAGGCTTCTGGGAGATGTACGACCCAGAAGGTTATTCCCTCTGGTTCTGTGACTACAAGTTCAATGACGAAAACACTGTGAAATTCGTGACGCTTAACAAAGTGTCGGGCTTCCTGCAGCGGATGGACCTGGCGCGCAAGTATGCCTTCGCCAAGATGTGCATCCTGGGGCCGGACGAGGGGCCCTTTGTGATCAAGGGCGTGTGGCTCTTCCGGGGATCCGAGGTGCCCCAGTTTGTGATGGACGAATGCTATGACTGCGAGCTGTACGAGTGGAGCAAGGTGAGAATGTCTCTCTTGCCACCCCCCCACTCTCACTCATTCACGCACATACGCATGCACCATACGCATGCACTCACTCACACGCGGGCCCGAGGTGTTCCAGTTTGTGATGGACGAGTGCTACGACTGCGATCCGTACGAGTGGACCTGGGTGCGATATTTCTGTTCTCAGCTACCTGGGCTTTAAGAAAAGGCTCCCAGTCGGCCTTGTTGTGTGACAGTTTGTGATGGACGAGTGCTACGACTGCGAGCCGTACGAGTGGACCAATGTGTGAGTGCCACTCTCTCTCCCTCCCTCCATCCCACCTTCCCTCCTTCCGTCCTTCCTCCTTCCCTCCTTCCCTCCTTCCCTCCGTCCCTCCGACCCTACTTCCCCCCCCCCCCCTCTATCACACTCACACACACATGCTCACATGGACACACATGCTCACATGGACGAACACACTCACATGGACACACATGCTCACATGGGCACACATGCTCACATGGACACACATGCTAACACGGACACACATGCTCACATGGACACGCATGCTCACATGGACACACATGCTCACATGGACACACATGCTCACATGGACACACATGCTCACATGGGCACACATGCTCACATGGACACACATGCTCACGTGGACTCCCATGCTCACATGGGCACACATGCTCACATGGACACACATGCTCACATGGACACGTGGACATGTACGCGTGTGCACACGCCCTCTCAAAGGCGCACATCCTCTGCAGCATACCATACATGCGGTGCCGCCGCACCATACATGTACGCACCAAATTTCCTTTTCTGCGGAACTGCAAGGCATGTAAAAGCTTTGGTTGGTATCCTCTTTCCTGTGCATTGCTGGGCCTCAACTCCCAGGTGGATTTGAGCAACGCAGAAGGAGGAGCGTGTGAGTGTGTACTCTGAGCAGCCGGCTTCACTTCTTCGTGAGGCACCTAAAAGTCATTTTCCTTTCCCGTGCAATCTCCCCTCTCCTGTGCATGCTGGGACCTCAACTTCCAGGTGGACTTGAGCGACGAGGCGCAGAAGGAGCGAGTGAGTGCGTACTTTGAGGAGCCCGATGACATCGATGGGCTCAAGCTTCAGGAGGCCAAGTGCTTCAAGTAGTGCTTCAAGTTGGTGTAGATAGCGATAGCGATAGTGTGCTGTAGTTGATAGTGTACATTGGTACTGATAGCGATTGGTAGGTCCGCGGTATGTGGATTTTGGGTGATGAAACAGTGACATGTGAGTTTGCCACCTTGATCCTGATGGTCTCTAAAACTATAGGAGGCCAAGTGTTTCAAGTGTTAACTTCTTAGCAGCATCTGACTTGGAAGTAACAAACCAACCGCCCGTGGTGGTTGTGGCCAGCCAACCATCGAAACACAACCATAATCAATACTCGGGTCGGGAGACTTTGGAGAGCATGTGCCTACAGGCTGTGGCCCATATCAGTCCAACCTCTACTGGGACGTACCGCACCGCACTAAATCGAATTGAACCAGCTTGCACCAAGTTTGTGCTGGACACCAATGCACCTTATTTAGACGCAGCTTAGCTGATACTCTAAGAGCTGTAGGAAAACGCCCTAACATATGGCAAATAAAATTTCCAGCTAATGCGTTCACTACCCTACTACCCTAACCATGAAGCTACAGCATGAGTGCAGGAAAACCCCCCCCAAAACAGCAGCTACCAATCGCCATGGCGAAATATTTGTCGTGCTCCACCCATGCCAAGCCACGACCCATGCCTTATCCGAAAGGCCGCTATAATACCAGTAGCTAGGCTGTGATACATAGGTTTTTGAGACTTCTCAAAAGCTTATTACGACCCGTGCCTTGCCCGAAAGCCTGCTGTAATACCAGTAGCTACGACCACCAAGACAGCAAGCCTAGCCCATCGCCATTTATGTCACCCTGCATTCGTGCAACATAGAGCGAACAATGTTAAGTCCATTCTACATAATGGATTGCAGTCAAAAGCATTTCAGGGTAAAAGCCATCATACAGGGGGCATGAAAAAGGTGAAAATTTGTAAGATGCAGAGTGAGGTCTTTACTGAACATGGTTCTCCACACATCGTTACCACATCTTTTGCACGCCAAGATGTGGCTTGTTGCACGGTGGTAACGTGAATGGTTTGAGTCGTCCATGCAAAAATCTCCATGGTTCTTACAATGAAAGGGTGCCTTGACAGGTAGGGGGGCGGGGGTGGGGGGGCTTACAACAATCTCCATAGTCGCAAAGGCAGTGGCTCCCTTCTCCTGCTCCACTGGCAGCGGGGGATACTTCACACTCACCACCTTGAACCGGATCTGGTTTGGGGTAAAGTGGAGGGGGGGGAAAGGGGGTTGGCAGGGATGACAGGTGACTTTTGAGTCGACTCAAAAGTCACCTCGTTACAATTTCAGCCACCTCAAAAGTCACCTCGTTACAATGTCACACAACACTTTCGCTTAAAGGGGGTTCGCAGGGATGACAGGAGGGAAGGGAGGGAGGGAGGGAGGGGGGAGTGCTGAAGCTGCAGTGGCTCCCTTCTCCTGCTCCACTGGCAGCGGGGGGTACTTCGCACTCACCACCTTGAACCGAATCTGGCAGGGATGGCAGGGATGGCAGGGATGGCAGGGATGGCAGGGATGGCAGGGATGGCAGGGATGGCAGGGATGGCAGGGATGGCAGGGATGGCAGGGATGGCAGGGCAGGAGGGGCAGACGGGGGGAGAAGAGAGTGTTGCAAACGCGGTGGCTCCCTTCTCCTGCTCCAAAACGAATGCGAGACGTTCAAAACGAATGTGTTGCGAGTCAAGGGGAGGGGTTGGTGGTATTTGGTAGTACCCATGCCATGCCACAGCATTGCCACATCATGCATCCTGTATCACTCATCCGCGTCAATCAACGCCGATCAATGCTGCTAGCCATCGCCAGTAAACGATATTCAATGCTACATTGATTCAACACCAGTCAATGCCAGTCAATGCCAGTCAAAGCCAGCCAATGACAGTCAAAGGCAGTCAAAGCTGGTCAATGCGGGCCAATGCCGGTCAATGCCTGTCAATGCCTGTCAATGCGAGTCAACACACACGAATAGAAATGGTCTGCAGCACCACAAACCCCCCTTTTTCCTCCCTTACCATTTCGTCCATATCTAGAAACATGTCGTTGTCATTGAATTTCCACACCCATAGCTTCTCCTCCTCGTCACTGTTTCACACGCACATATACACATGAATGGGTGAATGGACTCTGATGCACACAAAAACACACATGTGCATGTGTGGATGAGATATGCACGATGCAGATATGTGCACGCGTACGTACATGCACACTTGTTGTATGCATGCCGTCTTGTAAATATACAAGAACAGAACTTATGAAAACGAACAGAACATAAAGCAAACCAAACCTTACAAGGTACGCATGATGAGCATGATTGCATTATGGCAAAAAAAAAAAACAAACAGGAGCTGTGATAACTAGCACTCTCCTAGTCCACCAGCACGCGTTTTATGCTGCTCACAAGACTGAAGGTTCTTGTAGGTTGTAATGAGGAATGTGTATATCAGAGAAAAAGTCCAGTGATACTGCAGAGAGAATTATCCAGAAATTTGGGGGGGTGCGGGGGGGTTGAGGGGGGTGCGGGGGGGAGTAGGGGAGGGGAACAGGAGAGCAGAGAAGGGAGATAATGGCATAAGTGGTGAGACGAGGGGAGAGGGGTGAACAGGAGAAGAAGCCAGTAGCCAGGGGGGATTTGCGATGACAACGGATTGTCATGGGGGGGGGGGCTCAAAGAAAGGGAAAAGGAAAAAAACGGCGAAATTACCAGGGAAAACAACCCGCATCAAGAGCAGATACCAGAGGCGCAAATTGGGGAGCACGTGAACACGTCAAACAGGCCAGTAGCATGGCATCTCACAAGCCCGTCCACAGGCACTTCCCCAACAAAAACGTTGTCCCCACCCCACAGACTAAGTGGAGAAATACGCTAGCGTATAATACGAATATGCTATACGCTAGCTAAGTACGCAATACGCTAGCGTATTTCTTGACGGGCAGCCCGGCAAGAAATACGCAAAAAAAGATGCTACAAATTTGCGACATGGCAAAACCCCACAGGGACTTCGCCATGTCGCAAACCGAAATTTGGCTTTTCAAATCAACCCAACCCCTTCGCCCCTGCCAACCGCACAGCATCCCACCTAATCTGCGACTTCCAAACAACACCCAAAGAAATCTCCTTCCTCTCCCTCTCTCTACTCTACTCCAGCAGGGTTTAGCGCACTTCACTCCTACGACGAAATCAGGGTACAAGTCAACTGGCGCGCTAACTTCAGCCATTTCTTCTTCCAAGCTAGCGCGACCATCTAGCTGGTTTTTTAGCGACTGCTGCTATGTCGACCCCTCCACCTAGTACTGGTTCCCACGGAAACGACGCGGGAACCTCCCGTACTGCGTCTTCCTCTGGCGAGCTCCTGGAGAACTCCACCCACACTGTCTTTAAGCATTTCAAGTTTAAGCATAAGGAGCACGGCAAGCAGCAAAAGTATTGGTGCAAGTACTGCCCCGTATCCTTTACTGGGACGGCCTACCACTGCGCGCAGCACATCACTAGTTGGGATGGTATGCGTAGGCGCGAGGTTCGGAAATGCGAGGAGGTAGGGAAGGAGGAGCAGGCTGCCGTCCGCGCGTTCCAAACCGCCAAAGTGCTCGCGAGGGAGGAGGCGCTTAGGGCGGAGGAGTCGACCCTCGACGCCGTTAGTGGTCGGGGAAAGCGGAAGATCAGCGATTACCTGTCCAATGACGCCCAAGCGGCCAAGGCAGCGGCGGACGAGGCTGTTTGCCTCCTCTTTGCCGGCCTCCGTCTTCCCGAGCGCCATGCCGACCACCCGCTTTGGCGCAACGCCGTCCGGTCCATTGCGCGGGGACCAGCTATGTGCCTCCAAAGCGCGACTACGTGGGTGGTGCCGGTTCGCAGCTATGCCGCAAGCAGATTGACGAGGGATTGACGGGCGTCATGTCGAGCTGGAAGCGCCACGGCGTGACGATTGCCAGCGACATGATGACCGACAAGTGTGGCAGGCCGCAGGCGAATGTGATGCTGGTCAATGACACCGGCGCAGTGTTCGTCGAGGGTATTGACTGCAAGATGGAGAAAAAGACCGGGGGATACATCGCCCGGCTCCTCCGGCCCATCCTGCAAAATGTTGGGGTCGAGAACATCGTGGCGTTCTGCACCGATGGTGGCAGCTACTACCACAGCGCCTGCCGGCTCCTCGTTGCAGAGAATCCGCGCATCGAGCATGTGCCGTGTGCGACGCACGTGCTCGACCTCCTTATGGAGAATGTGGGGCGGCAGGCTTGGGCCAAGGAGGTAGTGGGGCGGGCGAGCGAGAGCATCAACTACACCCGCAGTCACCATTGGACCCGACAGTATCTCAGGGGTGTGGACGGAGGGAAGGGGCTGCAGATGCTGAGGCCGGCGGGGACCAGGTTTGGGACGCAGCACATTGCTGTGTCCCGCCTGGTGGAGTTGCGGTCAACGCTGGTGACCATGGTGCTCTGCAATGCATGGAAGGCGGAGTGGGCGGTGGGCCCAAAGAAGGCAGCTGCAGAGACATTCCACGACCAGATCATGGATAAGGACTGGTGGCCGGCAGCTGAGCTCTTCCAGAGGTTGCTCCTGCTCCCGTTCAAGGCCATGAGGGCGACGGATTCGGCAACGAAGGGGATGATGGGCCGCATCTATGAGCTGATGCTTGAGCTCACTGTGAAAGTGGCAGAGCTGCTGAAGGAGGAGGGGGATGGGGTGCTGAGTGCGGGAGACAAGAAGGGCGTCAATGAGATTGTGAAGCGGCGTTGGGATGGGAATATGGCTTGCCCACTGCATGTGGTTGGGCGGATTCTTAACCCGGCCAACCAGGAGGAGCGGATTTTTGGGCCGGACACGGAGTGCACCGATGTGTTCAAGGCTTTCATTGCCCACCACTATGAGGGGGGTGATGATTCCCCAGAGGGATGGCCTGCCCAAGCGTGCCACACTCCTCTTGCAGGAAGGGTTGGCCGCCTTTCTGAAGTTGAGGGGCAGCTTCGGCACGGGTGAGGCCATCAGTGACCGAAAGTTGGTGAAGGAGGGAAGTTATTCCATGGAGGCGTGGTGGGAGTGGCACGGCACTGACCACCCCTTGCTCATGGCCCTTGCTTGCCGTGTGCTAACTCACCCGGTGTCCGCATCCAGCTGCGAGCGCAACTGGGCGGTGTGGGATACTGTCCACACCGCCCGACGCAACCGGCTGGGTTCAGAAAAGTGCAAGGATCTGGTTTACGTTGCTCACAACTGGAAGGTTGTGCACAACTGCCATATGGCCGACGAGGGGGCGGGGGTGGTGTCCGGGAACATCCCAGACGCCCCCGTCCCTGCGGGGTACAGGGTGGATCGGGAGGAGGAAGATGAGGAGGGCGAAGATGAGGAGCTGCTGGACGAGTACCTGTAGATCAGAGCAGGAGAGGGTTAGGCAGGTGGTTTGGGGGAGGCTTACCTGAGATGGGTGGTTGGCTGGTTGTTGGAGGAGTTTAGAACCCTTGACATGCCCTTGGTGGCTTGAACTATTATTTATTAGCATGCTAAATGATGCCACATTTGGTGGGGGGAAATTGGTGCTCTCCACCCCCCCTCTTCCCTCCCCAAACAGGTTTTTTTCACACCTGCCCGAGTTTTTTTTAGACCTGCCTGCCAGAGCGTATTTCCTAGCGTATCCAACCCCGGAATCAAGCGTGCAGCGTTTATACGCTAGCGTATAATACGCTGTACGCGTATTTCTCCACTTAGCCCACAGAAACAATGGAGACCAGCACGCAAGGACCCAAGAGAGAGAAGGGCACATACCGAACAGCCCACTAGCACCACATCGCACCTCAAAAGCCTGTGTACAATTGTCCCTCCCTCACAGCACCATTTGAGAACAAAACACACCAAGGACCCAAGAGAGAGAGGATAACATGCCGAAGAGCCCAGTGGAGCCGCACTTCACAAGCCTGCATACGATCGTCCCTCCCTCACATACGCTTAGAGACCTTGTAGCCATAAAGCCTTGGGCGAGAGCAGCAACTTAGAAGAAAAGCTTTAGCAATTAGATTAACAGTAAGTAAAAAGTTACCCCTGTTAAAACGCAAGAGTCTGAAATTCCAATCTCAAATCCACAGTCCACTAGAAGATCAACGCTCAAACCAGTTTCGGCTGACCGGGACAAACCCCAAGTCAAACCTTCACCAGTGCACGTAAAATTACATGCGAGCCTTTAAGCAGAAACCACACTTCGGGAAAACAAACTCAGGCACGGACAGAACAACCGCGCGGCTGAAATCCTGTCAGCCAATCCAAAGCAACCTGGAAAAGTCCAAAATTAGCTTGCGGGGCGTGTCGTGAGTAACTCAGGGATTGGCAACTTCTCGCCAGCTGGTGCTCAGCTTTTAAGTCGACTCAAAACCAGCTGGTGCTCAGCTTTTAAGTCGACTCAAAACCAGCTGGTGCTCATTGAGCCTTGCACGAACTAAGTAACTTCTGCAAGGTGCGCCCAGCCTTCCATGCGAGAAAAACATCTCTCAGTGCATAATCCGTGTGGTAGTGATTTCGTTTTGAGTCGACTCAAAGCGAAATTACTATCACATGGAGAGCAACGAACACCGAGGCTCCAAGAGAGAAAAGAGCCCATACCAGAGAGCTCATACCAGAGAGCCCATACCAGAGAGCACATACCAGAGAGCCCATACCAGAGAGCCCATACCAGAGAGCCCATACCAGAGAGGCCATACCAGAGAGGCCATACCAGAGAGGCCATACCAGAGAGGCCATACCAGAGAGCCCATACCAGAGAGCCCATACCAGAGAGCCCATACCAGAGAGCCCATACCAGAGAGCCCATACCAGAGAGCCCATACCAGAGAGCCGATACCAGAGAGCCCATACCAGAGAGCCCATACCAGAGAGCCCATACCAGAGAGCCCATACCAGAGAGCCCATACCAGAGAGCCCATACCAGAGAGGCCATACCAGCGAGGCCATACCAGAGAGGCCATACCAGAGAGCCCATACCAGAGAGCCCATACCAGAGAGGCCATACCAGAGAGGCCATACCAGAGAGGCCCATACCAGAGAGCCCATACCAGAGAGCCCATACCAGAGAGGCCATACCAGAGAGCCCATACCAGAGAGGCCCATACCAGAGAGCCCATACCAGAGAGCCCATACCAGAGAGCCCATACCAGAGAGCCATACCAGAGAGCCCATACCAGAGAGCCCATACCAGAGAGCCCATACCAGAGAGCCCATACCAGAGAGCCCATACCAGAGAGCCATACCAGAGAGCCCATACCAGAGAGGCCCATACCAGAGAGCCCATACCAGAGAGGCCATACCAGAGAGCCCATACCAGAGAGCCCATACCAGAGAGCCCATACCAGAGAGCCCATACCAGAGAGCCCATATCCAGAGAGCCCATACCAGAGAGGCCATACCAGAGAGCCCATACCAGAGAGCCCATACCAGAGAGCCCATACCAGAGAGGCCATACCAGAGAGGCCATACCAG